TCTAATATTTGAGTGATTATTTAACCAAAGGCAACATAAAAATGGAAAATGCTTCATCAATTGTTGGAAGTCTGACACCACTACCTTGTGAATCATGACTTATTCGCATTGTGTTTTCATTAAGGTAGCTACCTGACTTTCATGGAAATCATCGTGACAATTAATTCACATATGCTTCAGGTTATGGAATCCCATTGATGGTAGCGCTGGATTTTTATTGCCTTAAGTTCTTATTTATTCTCTGTGGTCTTTTAGCATTCATTATCTTGAAGATGTTGTAATACCTGCACTGCAAGCATACTTATCAAATGATATTAACACACTCAATTTTGTTAGCTAGTTTGGTTTTGTAGCCACATAATCACCTCGTTCTTGTGCAGCTGACAATCCAAAACAGTCTGCAGTGGTGTCCAAAATTCTTCAATCTTGTCAGCCTGACTCTCGGTCACTGGTGTCTGCATGGAAACTTCTATACACTAATTGTCTTCCTTCAGAACTCACCAAGACTGGAGAAGCTAACTCTGATACTCGGAAATGTAAATCTTTTCCTCCAAATGTATACTGATCCTACTTGAAAGCTTTTGCACAAGTGTACATGCCATCAGAGGATATAGGTAACCTGTTTTTCTTTCTATAGGACCATTGGAAAACGTTTGAAGCAAGCATTGGTGACAAGCTTGATGAAAGATCATTTACATGTGAGCATCTTATGAGTGTTAAAGTCAGATGCTCGGAGGATGATCCCATGGTAAGCGGTGTGGTCAACTTCTTTGTTAATAGTGGAATGTCCTCCGCTCAGATTCATATCAAAAACTGGAGCTAGACCGAGGATGACGATGAGTAGCTAGACCAAGGACGACGATGAGTAACATGCACATTTTCGGATCGGAGGAGATATATGAAACGCCAAAGGAACATGCATTAGCTTATGCCATTTAAAAAGTGCTCCCCTTCACTTCATTCATTGATCCCAGTTGAGTTTGAAAGCACATAGAGATGTTTACTTATCTTGAATACAAACAATAATGTCTTTTGTTGCATATAAGTTGTGTGTCGTCTTGTACTTGTTTGCTTGTGTTGATATTCCAAGAACCAAGACGTACAGTGTGTTACATGTTTGGGTACTCTATCAAGCTAAGACGTGATGTTAAAATCCCATGAGGCGCTTTCACTTCTTGGTTTCTCTTAATCGTGTTTTATCACTGCATACTTCAGTCAGGTTCTATTAATTCTTCTTAATATACAATATTATTAGTATAAAAATATGTGAAAAGTCACATATAATTTGTTGGGAATTAATTACGAGCACAACACATTTGTAGAATTTGGCAACGCAGGCCATGTAGTACATGTTAAGGAACTGTATATTCGGTTGTTCTAGTTGATATTCCAAATAAAAAAATGAAAAGCTATGGCAAAAAAGGTTTGGTCGCTTGCCAAAGTTATGGTGGAGGGGGAGAAAGCTAGATGACGGTGTCGCCGAGCTCACCAAATCTGGCCTAGGGCTCTCCCCGCTGGCCGCTGCCATCTTTCCTTCTTCTGATTTGCGTCTCTCCCCGGACCGCAGACACCAACTCGTCAAGCTTAGGGTGGTAAGTAGCTCAGGACGACCGTTGTTGTCTAACATGAGTGTGGTGGCGTTGCACTAGGCCATGCACTCTTTCAACGCGCCGCTCAGAGCCATGCCTCACCTCGCCCTGACAAATCCTAATGAGAAACGCGGGACCCAGTTAGGCTCCACGGTCTTCACTTGGTAACTAGAGAGGCGGATGTGGCGTGGAATCTCTAACGTAGAAGGCTGGGGCTGATTGACAGCTAGGTGTACTGTGAAAGCCCTCAACAACCAAGGTTTTGCCAGATTTTCTTCACTTCCCTGATTCCCTCTGCTTCAGGTTCCCATATGCTCTGCTTTGCAGCATCGCTGATAAAGATGCGAAGCTTTGTCGGGAAGTAATTACACATCTCATTCAAAATATAAGCACTGTTATGTTGTTTAGTATCACAATATATGTTTTCTGTTAATATTATTAAAAAAATTATGTAATTATCGTTTATTGGGCTGTGACTTAGTTTATTAAGGTAATTTAAGCATGACATATTTTTTTATATTTGTGAATCACGGATGGTTTTTTTCCAAAAGTCAACAAATTATCCATTAGAAACAAGAGAGTATACTACGGTTTTGGACAAAAAAATCCTTTCAGTTACTTCCGTGGTTAAAATACAATTTTGGATTACTTAAATTTTTCCTCCAAAGCATTTGAATGGCTGAAATATTTGGATCTTTTGTGCACTGAAAATTAAAATTAGTGAGCCATATATATTTATATCGTGTATAAATTTTAAATCCTCTTATATTTAGAGGGAGGGAGTAACCAGCAGTTACATGGCTTTATTATTACGGATGAGGTGTGCCCATCACTAAGACTGAGTTTTTTTTGGTTGAGGTTAGGAACTAACATCTCCAGCATGTAAAACGGAGTAACTCATTAGCATATGATTAATTAAGTATGAGTTTTTTTAAAAAATAACTAATATGATTTTTTAAAGCAACTTTTGTATATAATTTTTTTAAAAAAATACACCATTTGGAAAGCATACACGTGGAAAACAGGGAACGTGAGTTGAGAAAGTGAACTAGGATTATTCCAACAGACTAAACTTACCTACGTAATTATAGGGATTGTTTTTGTTTTTGTCACATCTGTGATTTTTTTTTGTCATTTTTCGTAATTTTTACTAAGAAATGTTTTTTGTGTTTGTAAATATTTTTAAACTATTACTAGTATATGCCACAATTGCTGATTTTCTAGGAATAGTAACTAATGAATTCCTTAAAGTGCAGAAATAATTCAATCTAGTACTCATTTTGGAGGTAAAATGAGTACTCATTTCTGATTTTGGGGTAAAATTCTACGCCCTTTATCTCAAAAATATAATAATCTAGAACCGGATTAGACATTTTCTAGTATTACGAATCTGGACAAGCAACATGTCTAGATTCATAGTACTAGGACGACTCGTCCTAGGTTCTTATATTTTGGGACGGAGAGAGTATCCCTAATGTTATAAGTAGAGATGGCAATGAGGCCCATAACCCGAGACCCGATAGGTTGTTTACTCTATTAGAAGTCACATACGGTCTAATTCTTGTACCCATGGGTTTACTAACAGACAAAAATCCTTACCCATGTTCTAAAAAATCCTTACCTGTTGGGTAAATGGGTATGAGTTTGTTCTTTAGCCACCCGTACCCACTTACCCATGGGTAAAAAGTACCCGTGTGCTTAGCATGATGTTTACTTAATTTGAACATTAATATATGATTTAATACAAGTATGGTTTGTTTAGTTGTCATATATGATCAAATTCTTACATGGTTTGTTTACTTGCATTTGAATGTTAATATTAAAATTAAGGTTACCTTATATGATGTTCGTGGTTGTTGTTGTAATCGTCTAATTATTGTGCAAAATTAAAAGCTCTCTAAGTTAGCGTAGTGGGTATGGGTACCCAATGGATACCCATTACTCTCATAGGTGTGGGTACAGGGAAGGGAAAATCTTGTACCCGCGAGCAAATGTGGGTGTTGAAGTGGGAACTTTTCACCATCACAGGTGTGGGTCTAGGCTAAGAAAACCTGATGGGTGTACACCCGTTGCCATCTCTAGTTGTAAGCTAGTACTCATTCTGAATTTTGTGACAACAAAATTCAATCTGAAGATGCACATAATTTTCTTTTTTGTCACACAAATTGAAACTGAAATATTTGCATCTTGGTAACTAACTAAAATGTATAAATTTTGCAGGGACGCAGATCCTCTGCCTTTGGCCATTAAAGTCACACCGTGACTTTACTTCATCTCTACCATCCGACTTAATCCAATGGACAGGATTACTTGGCCCATCAACTGGTCTGGCCCATTGTTGATTGTTTTTTTAGCTCATTTCCAAGTTGGATTGAAAGATCAAGATCTTTATAGCGAAGATCTGTTTTATTTTAGTAATTGAGCTTATATTGCATAGCACTATACTTTTGTTTCAGACAATCACGTGTTCCAATTTCAGTTGTTGTTACTAAGCTCATGTAGGAGTAGTTTTTTGGGATGATATTACTTGACAAAATATTTTTTTAACTAATTCAGCAAGGTTTTCATTTCTTAATTAGTAGATGAATCATATGGTATTTTCACCTTTGTAATATGAATATCCCAACGCTTATTTTATGTTAGAAAAATAAAAAATATATGCTCATGGCTAGATACAAATGCAATGTTTTCACACATTTATGGGCTAAAGAGCAGAAATAAAGGAAAAGAATAATGTCCATTTGATTAAGTTGGATGGTAGAGATGAGGTAGAGGATCGGGTCTAATTGTGCTATGGATGACTAGGAAGCTAACAGATAAATTCAATCTTGTGATGTGTTCTGGCTGATCTTCCATTGGAGATAATGCTCAATCTAGTTAGGCACTAGAGTTTTTTTGATGCATTTGCATCCAAAAAATTTTTTCCCAAGGGTTTTGGATGTTCAGAGAGAACTAAAATTTGAATACAGTTACATTATACATGACATGTTATTTCATAGCCTGACATATGTTGAGAGAAAACATATGCTAGTAGCTTTATATAGATGAAATGTTGAGAATGTTAGCTATTAACAGAGCTACATCTGACAAATATTAGGGGGGAGAAATTTGATGACAAGTATATAGCGAAATCGATAGCGAAATCGTTTGTTGTGTGCAAAGTGGGCTCGTCCTGTGTGTTTTTTCTAGCCCATTTGTTTGTTGGGCCTTTTATAACGGACATAGCACAACGTGCTTGAAGCCCATATCCGGTCCAACAAGACGCTGACAGAGAGAAGCGCTCGATGCTGGCACGTGGTCTATCCGACGGCTAGAAATTCAGACAAAAAGACAAAAAAATATCAGCTGGACGTCACATAGACAGTCTTTTTATATATATATTTTATAGGACAAATAGAATATTTTTCCAGAGCAGAGGCCACAAAAATAAAAAGGAAAATATACAAAGCTGCTCGATCTGCCTGCCTTCTGGAGCATTCCCCCTTTCCTCACTCCCCTTCCCTTTCTGAGGTGAACTGTGCTTGCGGCGCGATCGCCAAATGATTATCAAGTATGCTTCTTCTTCCTTTTTCCTTCTTCGATTTGCTGGAAAATTTTCACCCATCCATCAATTTTCTGCTCGAATCTCGCTTTGCTGCGATGCCGAATCTTGCTCGATTCATGGTTTCTTTCTTGCATCTTTCCTCTTCGGTCCATGGAGATTTCATTTCACCCGATTGATTTTTTTCTGCTCGAGTGTTGCACTGCGATCCCAAATCTTTGTTGCTTATAGTTCTGAGCTGCGGATCCATGGGGTATTGATCCTTGATTGATTTTTTTTTCTCCCGTCCTGCAGATTCCAGTCCGCGCACGACACCTATTCGACGAATGGCCTCCGCGGGCGTGGCTCGGACACCATGTTCAAGAGGGACGCCCCCAGCACTGACATGATCAGCGGCCTCCCCGAAGGAGTTCTTCACCGCATCATGTCCTTCCTCACCTTGCGCGAGGCAGTGCAGACGTGCGTGCTCTCGCGGCGGTGGCGCAACCTCTGGCTCTCCATGCCTCTCATCAACGCGGACTACAAGCAGTTCTTCGAGATGACGGACACTAAAGCGGGATACGACGAGGCGTTGGCGGTGGCGGTGCCGATGTTCAAGAGATTTGTGAACCGGCTGCTGGAACTCCGCGACCCTGTTGCCTCTATTGACAAGTTCTGTCTCTGGTACTCCATATCTGATGACAACGAGGATGACACCGAGTCGCAAGATGCTGCCGCCAACAGGTGGATCAGTCAAGCTTTGCAGAAGAAGGCCCGGGTTGTAGAGGTTTACGGTGACCTCGTCTTCGCTGACCTCTACCCGTTGGTGATTGATCACTCTGTGTTTACTTCAAGCTACCTGACAAAAGTTGTGTTCTCAAGTGTTCTTCTGGAAGATGGTTTCTTCAAGCAACTCGAGTCGGGCTGTCCAGCATTGGAAGATCTCTCCTTAGATGACTGCGTCATTAGCGGTGATGAGATCTCCTCCCAGACACTGAAGGTTTTGACCATCAAGGACACTAAGTTCTCCATGGAACACAAGACTTCTATTAATACTCCAAGTGTTACTTCTCTGACATTGTGGAGGCCTGCGCACGGCATAGTTGTACTGAAGGACATGGCATCAGTAGTGACTGCATCAGTTAAACCTAGTGAGTTTATTGATGAATTTGATGCTAGGGGTTTGCGCCAATATCTATGGGCACTTTCTGGTGTTAAAAATTTGGAGTTCTATTATCTGGGCGAGGTATGATTTTTTATCTTACATATTCCCCTCTATCTTAGCATATCCATGCATCTTAATTTTGGTATCAATTTGAAAAAGTGAAATCTAAAGCGCAGTATGCTTCCTGACACTTCATAACAGCACTATATTAGTTGCCTCTATGGCTAATTCTTATGTCATGAAATCATGATGCGCTGATATGATAACTCAACCTGTCAACCACTTGATGCAATCTCGTTCATGTACCCAGGTCATCTGTAGATAAATCAACCAGTTGATCACTTTATTAGAAATACCTTAGTTGGAAGCTTTTTGTTCTTCACAAGGGACTGGAGCATTTCCTATTCGACAACTCTAATATTTTGTGATGTGGATTCAATTTTGGGGTTACCAACTGAAAATGTATCTTGTCTAATATTTGAGTGATTATTTAACTTCATTTGACAGTTTTACATAACTTCGAAAATTAAGAGGCATTCAAAGGCAACATGCAAATGGAAAATGCTTTAGCAAGAAATCTGTCTTGTACTGCTACCTCTTGAATCATGACATAGTTGCGTTGTATTTTCATTGTTGTACTAATGTACTCGACTTTCTTAGAAAGCATCCTGACAATTAATTCAAATATTCTCCTGGCTTTGGATTCTTGTTGATGGCAAAAAATAAAAATAAAAACTATAGCATGCTTTAATGCTGTATTTTTGTTGTCATAAGTTTTTTTTCTTCTTCTCGTGGTCCTTTAACATTCTTACAGTTATACCTGCGCTGCAAACAGGATATTTATCACATAATGTTAGCTCGCTCAATTTTGTTGGAAGTTTTTTTTAGCCAGCTAATCATTTCAATCTTGTGCAGCTGACAATCGAAGGCAATTTGCAATTGTGTCCGAAATTCAACAATCTTGTCAACCTGACTCTCGGTCGATGGTGTCTGGATGCGAATTTCTATGCTTTAATTTTATTCATGCAGAACACACCAAGACTAGAGAAGCTAACACTGAAACTCCATCCGGTAAATGATCTTCTCCAAATGTGTACTGATCCAACTTGAAAATTTTGCACATGAGCTTGTCTTCAGGATATAGCTTACCTGTTTTCTTTGCTACAGTTTCGTTATCAGCAACAAAGAATCATTGGTGAGCTTACTGAAAGATCATTTACATGTGGTCATCTTAAGATTGTTGAAGTCATATGCTCGGAGAATGATCCCCTGATCAACCACTTGGTTGACTTCTTTGTTAGTAGCGGTATGACCACTGCTCAGATTCATATCAAACACTAAAGCCAGATGCAGCATCAAGGGCCTCTAATTTTCTGGCCTGAGTAGATATGAAATATCAAAGGATCTCTTCTCTTGTTGTCCCATTGAAAAATAATATTCTTTTTGGGATGGATATACATACATTGGTTGATTCCAGCTGAGTTCGATGGCACATAAGACTAGTTTATCTTCCGCTCTTGTTTGGTGCTACGACTTGAGTGCACCCAATCAGTTGTCTTGGATCTTGACTTCTTGAGTTGCTCCATTGCTTGTACCTTGTAATGTCACTCAGTGTTGTTCTATTCGCGGATATTCGTTCTGCCTGTTTGGTTACATTGTTTGCTGGAAAACCATTGATCACATGATCAGAACACTGCATGTTACATGTTTGAGTATCCCATATGGGATTCATGTTTTTTTTTTCTGATAGTTTTGTTACAATCCTGTGACCTGCTTTCAATTTTAGTTGATATATCAATCAGCTTTTCCCATTGTCCAACTTCTATCACTCTGACTCTCTGAGACCCAGTTTCACATACAATCCGTTCTGACTCTTCATTTGTTTTTCGAATGATTGCCGTTTGCTTGATCACCGGTATAATATCAATGTTCAATCAAAAGGGAGGTAGTATATAGTACCAAATTTCTGCATTTGCTATGACTTAGACATGTCATTGTCATGAGAAAATTTCCAAATCCAATTCATCTAACCCGTGCAAAATTGCGTGGGAAAATCCCTAGTTACTGTGAAAATCTAATAGATTCCCACGTTTTAAAGGAGCTAAGTTACTCAGTTTGATCACAAAACATACTCCCTCCGTCCCAAAATATATGTATTCTCGGATCTCAACATGATCTTTAAAATGTTATTTTGACTTACAATATCTACAAAAGAAAAATATTTTAAATGAAAAGAGATATATATTATGATTGTTCATTTAACGATAAAGATAGTAACATCGAATTTACACGATTACTCTTTTAAATTTTTTGCTATTAATAGTCAAAATTTAAAAGTTTGACTTAGCGTTATATTAAAAATGCTTATATTTTGGGACGGAGGGAGTATTATTATCGTATAACACCAAAAATGTGAGAAAAAACATTGTCAAATATAATTCTGCTGATATTATACTTATCCTAAAAACTATTGGTGAAAACAAATCCATTTCAGTTATATTTTTTTAAAAAAAGTTTCCCACAACGTAACTAATAGTGAAGTAATTTATCACAACGTAACTAATAGTGAAGTAATTTATCAACCAATCAGAACCATCTGATTATTCCATCAACGGCCTAAACCACCCAGATATCACTCAAATACGCAATCCGCAGCATCTTCTTCTTCAGCAACGCATATCTTCCCATTCCGTGGTGCTCCAAATCGAGGTTTGCTTCATCATTTCTTCCGATCCTTGTTGCATCTCTACCCTCCTCGATCGCTGGAGCTTTCACCCATCAATTTCTGCTCGGATCTTCCTTGCCCTGCGACCTCGAATCCTGCTTACCGTTGAGCTGGGAGTTCACGGCTTTTCTTGGTTTTTGTTGCATCTTTCATCTTCCATCGCTGGAGATTTCACGCAACGATTTCTGCTCGATTCTTTCACTGCTAAATGGTGTGTATTTCGTAAAAAATTTCTATAGGAGAGTAATACTCACTCCTTTAGTGCATAGCTAAAAATCCGTTAGTGCATAGCTAAAAATAGTGAGTATATTTTAGGATCGTTTGGAATGGAGCGAGTAACCACCTGTGACGAACATATATATTTTCATTTTATCTTTTAGAGTAAATTTCCCAAAACTATAGATATTTTGGCTAAATAATTACAAAACTATAGATTCAAACCCTTCTTGCACTACGTATGATCTCAAATCTTGCATGGGGACTGAGCCGTGGATTCATGGCTAATTCTTGGTTTTCACCGTTGTGCAAATTACATGTGCGCCACTTGCTTATACGTGTGTGCTATTGAGGTATTTTTTGCTAGCGGTTCTCTTAAGGGGGTTTTGGACTATTTGCCACTCTCCCGGATGGCGTGTTCTCAAATGCCACTCTCCCGGCTATTTTGCCACCAGAGAGAGAAGATTTCTTGCCCGTGTGCCATTTTTGAGCCCGCAAGGCGCCACGTCACTCGATTTGAGGAGAAAATGACCGCCTTGCCCTTCTTTATTTCTCTTCATGTCTCTTTCATCCCCTTCCTTCGCTCCGGCGAGGTTATTGGGCTCCGGAGAGGTCCCCGCATCGCACTTCGCACTCCTCCCTCCTTCACTTTGCCCCTTACCTCCCCGGCCCTTGCTCCATTCCACTGCGGCCAACACCGACCGTGATTTTCGTTGGCGGTTGGTAACTGGAATTGTAGCGCCCGTTCCGTCGTGGCACCTAGCGGGAAAATTAAATTCTAAAAACCCTAATTGCGAAATTTGTTTCTTTGAGTGTTGTCAAGTCTCCGTGCCATTCCGGATCCCGAATCTCCGATCCATCGTCAAATTCAAATTCCAAATCTCAATTTCCTCCCAATCCAAATCCCTCAGAAAAGTCTATTCTGCCTCCCTTAGGTTTGGTGGGCCGATTTTCTCTCCTCGGCCCATCTCCCCCTCTCGGCCCAACTCTCCCTCTTTCAGCTCTCCCCCCTCGCTCTGCTCGTGCGCCGCACGCGCGCGTGCGTGCGCGTGAGCCGACGTCGAGCTGAGCCATCTCTCTCTCCCTCATTCTCTCGCTCTCCCTCTCCCCGCTTCTCTCCCCGGCGAGCCCCCGCCCGCGGATTTTGGCCCCGCGCGCCATGGCCTCGCGCGCGCCCACGCGGTCGCCGCCCGTGCCGCGCCTGTGCCGCCTAACCCCGCTGCTCTGCCGTGCCAGTGGCCGCGCTGCCGCTCGGTCCCACGAGCCAGCGCGCGTGCCCGAGCCGCGCTGCCCACATCCGTCCAAAACCCGGAGACAGAGCTCCCGCTACCATCCCTCTCCCTCCCCAAATTGGCATGGCTCGAGCTCCCTTTCTCCCCCTCCGTTTCCCGCCTTCCTCTCTCGGACCGACGCCTCGCCCTCCCTCCGTCCCACCGCTTGGTTCCAGCGCCTGGATGCAGAGGAGCAGCCGCGCCGGGCCAGCCGTTGCCCATGCCGTTTGACCCCGCGCCCTTGAGCCATTTCCTTCTCCTCGAAGCTCCCTCCCCCCCCCCCCCGTACTGCTCCGAGGTCGGTTTCCGAACCGACATAGCCACCCCTTAAAAGCCGCCCCTCCCCCCATCTCGCTCGATCTCCCTGTTTCGCTCCAAACCGCCGCGCCGTTGCCGCCTCGTCCGTGCCCTGTTCGCCGTCGCCTTCCGCCGTTGCGTGTGCTGGAGGAGCCGGTGCGCGCTAGGAACGGAAGGGGACTCCGGGCGCACGTCTTCCTCCTCTTCCCCGGCCTGAGGCCGGAGCGATCACGCCCCGCGCCGTCGGCCATCGTCACTACGCCCCTTCACCCCACACGGTAGTGCATCCTCCCCGTTCTCCCTCCTCGCTCCTCCTCCCCCCCTTAGCTTTCGGTAGAAGCTTGTGTAGCCTCCCCGTAGCTATCTGGCGCCGCCCCGACCGATGCCGCTGCTCGCTGTGTGCTCGCCGCCGTCGCCGCCCGAGATCGGTAGTCGCCTCTCGTCGCCGGCCTCATCCGTAGCGTTTCCGATCAATCCGGCGCAAGGAATGGATTCCTGAGGTTCCCTAGATGCTCTAGCCCCTTTGAATCGAATCCTAGTCGCGTCGTCGCCGTTTCCCTCTTCTCTCGCCGCTGGTGGCCGCCGCCGCAATCCGCCGCCGTCGAGCCCCCTCCGGCAAATCCGAGCCGTTGGCTCGCACCCTCTCGTTCCCCCTTGTCATCCCGATGTACACCCCGTCGCCCCTCGTCGTCGCACGGCGTCCCGGAGAAACCGCCGCCGCCCGCCGTCCATTCGTGGCCGGTGCCTTCTTCCTCCTCCCGCCGGCCCGTGTGGCAGCCACATAGGCGCCACGTCGGTGCCACCTCGGCCGCGACCGGGTCAAGCTGACCCCGATCCGCCGCTTCCCCCGCTCGCGCGCGCGGTCCACCGCAAGACGTGAGGCTGCGCGTGGGCCCGCCGCACCCGCACCCACCGCAAGCCGCGCGCGTGCACCGCACCCTGCTCCAAACCCTAGCGCGCTCCGCGTGCTCCTCGCTCACGGTAAGCCGAGCCGCCGACAAGCGGGTCCCACTCGGGACCACGCGAGATGGACCCGGCCCACCGGCTCCCTCTCTCCTCCCCTCCCGCGCGTGCCTTCGGGCCGTCTTCTCGGGCCGGCCGGCCCATTAAGCTCGGCCGAGCCGCCCCTTTCTCTCGGGCCGCGCCCTAGCCACCCGAGGGAAGTCTGTTTCCCCTCCCTCTTTCTTTTCTTTTTCAAAAGGGTTTAATTAAATCCTTTTTCCTTTAGACCAAAAATCCAATAATCTTAGAAATTCAATATCTTATCAACCGTACATCCGATTGACTCCGTTCAACTTCCAAAAATCCTCAAATCTCGAGATCTATCTAATGGCACTCTTAGAGGTCAATAATATGGCTTAATTTTTTCCGTTTGTTGAGTGTCCCGTTTTCGCGTGTAGTTTCGGAGCCCGAAGACCCGCAGTGCCAGGATTTCGAGGATCAAGCTCAAGATCTCGAGCAAGGCAAGTCACCTTTGATCATCTTGCACCTATAATTTAAATCTAAGTATTTCTTTTCCGCAAATATTGCATGAATAGGTTTAACACAAGTAATTCGGCCGCGGCTCGTGAGATAGCTTGCCGGCCCCAATCCTAATTGCTGCAATTGCCCTCCTTGAATTTTTGAACACTTAAAACCTCCTTTGTCAACTGTTGTGCTTCGATGCACGGGCCATCGGGCACGGGCATCGGAACACCTCCCCTCAAATTTAAAATATCCAACGATGGGTAAAACTTGGGGTTTTACAGAAGACTTGGAAAACCCGACACCTGGGTCGGTGCTTGCGAACTAAATGAATTTCCAAAATCGCAGACCGGGGGACGTACCGGGAGTACGGTTTCCCGCTCTGGCACTTAAGGACCGTTTTCCTTGGAATTTCATCTGAACATAAGACAAGTGCGACCACATGGATGAAATGGGACGCCCCTGGCTGAGTAATTAGCTAATCAGGGGAACCATGATGCCAAGAGACATGTGGATTCAACGGGGTGGTGTCGGGGAGAACCCCTGGCTTCCTGGCACAGTATGGTCTGGGACCTAACCTGGTGTTGGTCTGGGACCCCTCTCGTTGGCATATGGTAAACCTGTATCGGCTTTCGAAATGCCTTGTCGTGAAAGCCTCAAGGTCACCAGACGTGGCTGTTCTGCACGGGCTGGGTGACCCGGGTTAGTAACGCCGTGTGGGTAAAGTGTACCCCCTCTGCAGAGGTTATTAAACTGTTCGAACAGCCGTGCCCACGGTCATAGGCGGATGTGAGGTGATTCCTAGCGTAGTTTTGTTTGACTACTGCTTGTGAAATTACTGTTGTGGAATGGGTTCGATGTTTGGAAAATCTGCGGCTGATGGGATCAGCCAGGCCCGGGTGGGCGTTTGAAAGCTGTTGGCCGGGTGCCAACCTTGATCTATTCAAAGACTGATACTTTGCACATACTCCGACCGGACGAGACGCACTATCTCATCCGTTTCGTTTGAGAAGCACTCACTTAGTTGTTTCAAAAAGGAGTTTAAATAAAATCAATTGCAAAAACAACAGTCTTTCCTTTGAAGCCTGCATTAAACACTTAATTCCCATGGCTTGCTGAGTATTCCTGTACTCACCCTTGCTCTATATAAATAATCCCCCCCAGTTGCTGAAGAAGATGAAGTGGATCCTGCTGATGAGGAGTTCTTCCAGGAGAAAGTCGGCTACGATGAGTTTTAGGGTTTCGGCCTAGTTCCCAAGTCATGCCTGTGATGATTGGTCCAAATCTTAGGCTTCCGCTTTCCCTTTTGTAATGCAGTTGTGAGCTCGGGATCTGTCCGCAGCCCAACATGACTGTACCCCTACTCTGTAATAAAGAGACCTCTGTTGCTGTAGTATTATGCGTTCCTGTGATACCAGCACTGATTCCTGGGACTGGTATCGATTAACAGGTTAAATTGGAGCGTCACGGGCTAGTTCCGTTTAGGGCTAGTTCGGGACGTGACAGGAATCCCCTCTCGATTATTTTTACATGCGTGTGTTTATTAAATCCGCCAGTAAAAATAAATGGATGGTGCTGTGAAAAATGATTTTTTAAGTAGTGAGTAACCAACAGTTACTAAGATAAATAGCTTCATTTTATTATTATTTTTAATGTGATGAGGTAGGCCAACTAAATCTTGTTTTAACCATATTCTTTTGAGATTATTTACTGGCCTCTGGCTTATTAAAACGGATTATTTTCTACACGCTTTGAAATATACGTTTTCTCGACAATGTTTCTTGCATTGTTTAGACCAGTCGATTTAAGCTATCTGTTAAGTTTATTTTTTTCAGTATTTAGTTTATCCTCACAATTGAGTACGTAAATCAATAGCAATAATACTTCACTCAATAATTAAAATCAAACAAAACCGGCTTTAAGAAATCAAATAAGGTGGATGGGTTAATCTGAACCGTCAACTTTTTCTATCAACGGCACAAAACCACACAGAGGCCACTGAAACAGACGAATCTCCTCTTCCTGCGTTGGAGTTTGTTACCCTTCCCTTCCAAAGTTCCGATAGTGGTGCAGTTGCGAGGCAATCACCGAATCATTTGAGGTTTGCTTCTTCTTCTTCCAATTCTTCTTCTTGCATCTCCCCTCTTCGATCGATGGACATCAAATTTTCTCCTCGACTCTTGCATCCGTCGAGTTCATGGTTTCTTGCATCCGTCCTCTTCGATCAATATTTTGTTCGAGTATTGCAATCCCTGCGATCTCAGATCATCTTTGCTTACGTTTGAGCTGCGGATTCATCGGTTATTGATTCTTTCTTGATTTTCCTCCATCCTGCAGTTTACACGCACGCCACCTGTTCGACAAAAGGCCTCTTCGCGGTTCGGCCACCATGGCGGGGACGCCTGGCAAGCGCCTTAGGTACACGGCCTCGAGGCGCGTTGGGTCCACGCTCAGCGACCTCCCCGAAGGAGTCCTCCACCACATCATGTCCTTCTTGGACTCGCGACAGGCCGTGCAGATGTGTGTGCTGTTGCAGCGGTGGCGCAACCTCTGGCGCTCCATGCCTCGCATCAACATCGACTGCAAAGAGTCCTCGCATCAACATCGACTGCAAAGAGTTCGAGGTGACCGACAAGATATGAAACGAATTCTCTTAATAGAGAGTTTTCTAAAATATACGGGTGATTTATTACAAAAGAATATTTTAATTTACAACATTAGATCTATATATAGTGAAACATTGTAAATATACTAGGTGAAAAAAGGAGAGGGACAAGTGTGTGGAGCCAGCAGGGTGCGCGCGTGGGAGGAGAGGGAGCGACCGATTTTCTCCCTCCATCGGTCGACCGATCATGAGCATTTTCGATAACATATGTATCCTATCAAGAAATTTTCAAGTGTCATTACATAGACTGCCATTTCACTGCGATAATATTTTTTTTTAAAAAATGTCATAAAACAAAAACATAATTTTATTTTCCTACTAGAATATAATTACAGCATGACTAATTCGCTGCAGCAAACATAATCTTACTTAAGAATCACCAGAGGCCACAAGCCCATTAATTCGGCCCACTAATGCCGTTTCCCGGACTCGGCCGATCACATCCGGCCCAGTAGCAGTCAGGAAGAGTGGAAGACGAACAAACAACTCAGGCGGCGGGGCTCCACCTTTCCGCCACCGCTGGCGAGACGGCCGGCGCGACGCGACGCGACGCGAGGCGGGGCCGCGTGAGACGGCGAGAGGTAGGCGGCACGGCCCAGGCGCAGCGCGCCGCAAGGGCGGGGAAGCGTGCGCGCGCGCGCCACGCGTGTATGTACTGGTGGTTGAGGGAGGGCATGCGTGACGCTGACGCATCGGCTTCAAGCGCATTCGCGGCCGCCGCGGTGGTGGAGATGAGCGTCGAAGGACTGGAGGAAGCTGGATGTCGGAGGGCGCAGGAGCGTTCGCCGATAAGGTATACAAGTAGCGAGGCGCGGTGGCGATTGAATTGTTAAGTGGGTTCGCCGCGTGCTGTTTGGCTTGCACGCTAACTGTTTGATGCAATGCTTCGCTCCTGTTGGTTGGTGTTCTACACTTGTTTCTGAACTATTTCTTTCTGTGAGTATAGCCTAGATTCAGTGTTAGTCATATATTGTTTCAGGAGATCTTGCTCCTTAGCTAATGGGAGCATAAGAACATAGGGACGAAAGATTAGACTTGTGTAAAATCTTGTTGACCCTTTTCATTTTTCTTACTGAAACGAACAGTTCTGTTTTGCATATAAAGTTATGTAGTTCCTTTTGTTTGACCAATGTTGCTTACCTCAAATTTTGCAGCCTTGCAGGCCCCTCCAGAAGTTCTACACTTGTAAGACCCCCTTCTTGACGGTATCGATCTGCAACAGTCTGTTCTTCCTGAATCCCCTGGTTCAATGATGAAGATAAGTACCTTACTAATAATTTATTCATCTTTTTAAGCATACCACCTGTTCGTTCTCAATGCCCCTCAGGAGTAAAACTAAGCTGACAAAATGCATTTCTGTGCTATTTATATCTCTCGTCTGGTGCCTGTGATTTGTTGAACCTTCAGGAATGCTCTGCCCTTATTCTTTTATGTTGTCAGGCAGCATATATATATTTTAAGTCAAATATGAGTTTTTTTCGTTCTTATAATGCGAGACATCAGTATAGGCTAGTTACAATTGCATCTCATTTGTAATGATATCAGTGAACATGATTGGTGTATTGCGTTTAGATGCTCCCAGGCTTGGGACGCTAATAATAGGAAGGTTATTGATATAGTTTTTTCTTTCTTTTAGCTTCGAACCACTCTATATGTTACACGAGCTATTAGGTTACTATATTTATAACTCCCTCCATCCCAAATTATAGGACACCCTCTTTTTAAGGAAAATCAAACTCGGTAAACTTTTACTAATAATCATATTAACCTTATCTATGCTAAGTATTATGCATGTTATATCATTAGATTCATATTTTAAAGTACTTTTATGTGATACTAATTTCATATTCGTTGGAAATATAACATGGAATAAATTAAAGGTCAAAATATGTCATTGAAGACTATGTAAATAAAATATAAGCCTTATAATTTGGGACGGAGGACCATTTAGCATTCTATACAGCTGTCTTTCTAGTGTGATTTAAATCTCCAATGGTAATAAACTAGTAATAATAATGGTTCATTAACCAAGTTTGCTGAACCAACAATGATAGGCATTCAATGAAGATATTACAAATATTTTCCTTTAAGTACAGCATGAGATCTCCTATCATTTCAATATTTTATTGAAGAAGATAATAGTGAATAATTACTTTTATGTATGAATCTTAGGAAAGCTACAGCCTTCTTATGTGCACTACTAGTTGCGAACAGAAAATAAAGTTAACCAGCCTAATAAAAATATTTTAGCTAATTACAAGTTTGCACTCCATGAGCAGCCCGCCAGAGCTCCTGAAGATTTCTAATGCCTACCTCCAAGTTTCAGCTTCCTCCCTGGTGATGGCTACCTCAAATCACCTAGTCTCTTTTATTCTGAAACACACTCTTGTCTCATTCCAATTATAGTTTTGCCATATAATTGGGATAACTAACATTCCCTCGTCTTATTTCGGTCGTGCACTGTTGCTTCATGATAGTGAACGTTTGCCAGATTTATACCATGTAAGTTGATCCATTGCTAGCTTCCAGATAGTCCTTTCTATTAAAGGTGCACTCGATATACAATTGTCACGCTGTCTCTGGCAGATTCCTACACATTACAGTTGAACATTACCATTGGCAATATGCTAACAATTATTGAGAAAATGATAGGAATTTGGCAGAAAATACTACTACTATGTGATATCTTTGGCAAGTACAAATATTTGAACTGGGTGGGCTTGAGTCATGTTCGGAGCCTTACGTCTACTGTCTTGTTTTGTAATAGATTTTTTTTCCTATTAATTGCAGTGCACACAATAGTTTGTCATAATCTACTTTATTGAAACCTGATTATACAGTTTTAGAGTGACAGGATCCTTTGGTCATGCATTACATTAAATTACGAGTGTTAAAGGAAAATAAATTTGGCAAACAGCAAAAAAGAATAATTCATTTGCGTGTTTTGTGTTTGCATGAGGAACATGTTTTGAGCTGGTTAGTTTGCCCTCACTAGAAAAGCAGGTAAATTACCTTGGAACTAAAATAATGGAATGCAGGTCAATACAACTTCTGGGATATGTTGCCTCAGATTGTTGCATTGCTCCTCTAGCTCTGGGCTGTACCCTTGCAGCTGCCGGTAGGACACCTCGAGCCTCTTGAGGGAACGAAGAGAACGCAATGATGAGGGGAGAGACTGCAACCTGTTGCACCCATAAAAGATGAGCTCTTGGAGTGAGGTGAGCAGCTTGAGCGCAGTTTCCTGCTCCTCCGTGAAGTGCTGCACCATTGTGTCATTCCGGAAGGTTAATCTGTGCAGTGAGGCTGAGAGGCGTTGGCAGATTGGAGCAGCAAGAACGCCTGAGATGCTGCCAATGTCCAACTCCTCCAGCTCCTTAGAGCCAGCCACCACTGTTCGTGCCATCCTTGTCATCAGCCGATCTTCTTCCAGGTCATAAATGTCGTAACCGTAAGCCCTCAACGCCTTGAGGTTGTTCATCAGGGGAAGGTCGTCATGAACAGCCTGCATTGCTGCACAAGAGAGGACGCACCCTCCAAGTTGCAACCAATGGAGGGACATGAGCTTCTTGAGCACTTCATCCTTCACATTCATGGTCAGGTGATCCCTGGAGAAGATACCTAATCTGCTTAACGAGCTGGTAAACTGAGATGGGAATTGCAACATGCCATCAATATCATTGTCATCGTCGTCCATTTCATGGCTGCTCTGTTGCATGCACAGTCCTGTTATGCCCTTGCAGTCTTCCATTTCCAAATGGGAAAGACAAGGACAGCAAGCAAGAATCTCCGATAGCTCCTTCCCTGTGATGTAGCAGTTCCTGAGCATAAGATGCTTGATTGGTATCTGGATGGCATCACTCTCTCCTCTTCCAGATGATAGGCTGATGCAATCCTCTATAGCCAATGTTTCAAGCGAGGTTAGCTTCTGCAGGGTAGCTAATGGCACAGACGAGCATACCTTGATGGTCACACGAACTAACCATTCCATGTCATGGAATGCCAACACATTGTCCAGGTTACCCAAGTTCAACAAAATGTTGTCCACTCCTCTGATTTCCAACATGTGTATATCGTAAAGAAGTTTATATGGACGACTTGCCACTTTCGCCAACTCTAACTTAGTCGTATAAGGCATAAGAGGTAGAGACAACTGTGGACAGTCCCGGACAACAAGCTCACGCAGATTTGTCTTCAAAGTCATGCATTTGTGTTCTACAGGAGAAGCCTGAGATGTCCTCCAACCAATGACCCGAAGAATCTGCAAGTCAGGTCGGAAAATGTGCCTCTCTTGTGCATCTGGAGTTTGCAACAGCTTCAAGTCATGAGAGAACGGCAGTTCTTTAAGAACTGGGCAATTTGAAACTTTTACTTGCTCGAGCTGAGAAAACAAGTGCCAAGTGTTTCCACTTACCCATTCTACCATGCTCAGCATACCATTGAATTCAATACTCTTCAGAGTCTCTAAGCTTTCATACCTTACTTCGAACTTTTCTATTGCAATATTCTCCAGCTTAAGTTTCTGGAGGTAAGGAATTTGTCCAAAAGGGGGAAGTGTGTTCCAGGACACACCATGTAAGTGGAGAACCTCTATCCTTTTTAAGGAGATGGTGCTGTCAAACCAAGAAGGACAACTGTTACCCTTATGATTCTTAATGCACAACTCCCTGAGATTTGCTGGTGGTTGGAGACCCTCTATGCTATTTGCTTCTTCCTCAGTTTGTTCCCTACCAGTCTCATCCCAGACTAGTTTTAATCTGACTAGATTCCTTTTCAGCGTGAGCTTTGCTTTCTCAGCTTCTGTCCTTGTTTTGACTTTATGTAGATTGGAGATGGTGAGTGCTCCTCCAAGATCTCTCAATTCCCCCAACTGTTGAAGCTCAAATCCAGCACGCTCTTCCCTATTAACTTGGAACTTGCTCAACTCCTGTAATAATTTTAGCATTCCTATCTTGGCAACACTGGATTGGAGTTCTTTGCTAGCAAGAAACTGGCGCAAATATATGAGATGACTGATTTGCATGTGTTTAGGCACTGTAGTCATGCCCGTCCAATCCTGCAGGTCTAAGAATCTCAAGTGATAATATTCAGGGAGGCTAGAGGGTAAGGATGTCAGATGATCATTAGTGGCAGGAGTTTGAATTTCACCCATCATAAGTCGGAATTTATCCCATTTTCGTGTGACAGATCTATTCAATTTTAACTGTGTGTTCATTGTTTTTTTAGATGCTTGGATTCTTAAGTAACGAAGGTGGATAAGTTTGGATGGTAGAAATTCAAGCGTTGTTTGGAAAAGGCGGAGGACACGAACATGTTTGACATCCTGAAGTATTTCTTTAAAAGCTTCAGAGAACCTTTCATCATATTCCCCAATAAACATCACAGTGTGCAGGTTTGCAACACTTATTTGCTCCTTCAGGTTTCTAATTTCTTCCTTAAAATTCTGGTAATGGTCTAAGCCTACAGTATCACTTGTACAGCTAGTCCTGATGGATAAGTGTCGGATGGATGGTGGGGTATATGCAAACCTAGGATTGGAGCAGTCAATGCTGAGGCATTCACGTGATGAGACAATCCGTGCTAGTTCATGAAGCAAACCATGCATGACATAGTATGTGTGCTTTACTTCTCTCCCCTTTTTATGTGAGAATTTTACCCCATCAACTTTCTGAAAAATCCCATTATTTACCAATCCGTTAATGTATTTCAGCCCTATATCTTGGATTCTATCATCCTGACCACTGCAGTTTATAACACCAAGTGCCGACCACAGGTGAGTCAACTCTGAATCTTGGTACTGGTAATCGTCAGGGAAAAGGGCGCAGTATGTGAAGCATTTTTGTAGATGAAATGGGAGACAGTCATAGCTAAGTTTCAGAGCTGGCATAATATCGTTGACGCTATCTGCATGCTCCCATTCTTTGCTGTCAAGAACTCTACTCCAGTGTCGCCTAGTAAGATTCTTCTTCAGTAACCGACCCACTGTTTTTGCAGCGAGTGGGGAGAACTTGAGCTTCTTCACAATCTCCCTTCCTAAATCAAGCAATTCCTTGTGGTGCTCTGCTCTCTCATCACCAAGTGCGCATGCTAAGAAGAAGGCCCAGATCGGCCGACTGTCAAGGCCACCTAGACGTATGAGCAAGTTGGTTTCAGATTTAACCATGTCTGCAGTTTCTTCAGATCGAGTTGTTACTATGACCGTGCTACCCTTGGCACTTGTCTTCCTGAACGGGGCCAAGAACTTGTCCCACTTGTACTCGCTGTCACATGGCCACATATCATCCAAGATGAGCAAGAACCTCCTGGATTGCAGCCTTCGCTCCACCAGCGTCTGGAGTTGTTCAAGGTTGTGTGGCTCCCTTTCATTGCCCCATCTTCGTCTCCAGCTCACCTCACTGGCGACCATGTTGTTGAAGATCTCCTTGGTGAGGCGAAGCACGTCGAAACGGAGAGAAACATGTACCCAGATCCTAACGTGGAAGTGCTTCTTCACCCTTTGGTCGTGGAACAGGTGCTGGGTGAAGGTTGTCTTGCCGATCCCCCCTGGCCCTACTACCGGGAGAACGGCGAGGCCGTCGCGGTCACCGGTTATCTCATTGATGGCGGCATAGAACTCGGCGTACCTCCCGTAGAGCTTTGCCTCTAGGCTGGTTGAGGTGGTTGTGGTGACACGCTCACTGAAAGCAGCTGCGGCTGTGGTGTTGGCTGCAGTGGTGCGGGGGTCCATGAGCTCTAGCTTAAGGAAGTCGGAGATCTTGGCGCACAGAGGCTGCATCTGCGCCATGAGCGACTTGATTCTCTCGGACACGATGGATCTATTGAAGAACTCCACATCAACCGCGGCACGGCCACGGCAGGACAGCGAAGAGGCCAGAGAGCGACGGCATTTACCGACGGCGTGGCGGGCGTGGAGGATGGAACGACGGACGAGGCGCCCGTCGACGACCTGGTCGTCGTCGACCGCCTCGTGGGTGCGTTTGACGTGGTCGCGGATGCGGTAGTAGTCGACCTTGTCGAGGACGTTGTCGGCGTCCTCGGCGAGGTGGCTGAGCTGCCGCAGGAGCTCCGCCAGCGCCGGGCTGTGGGCGACGTTCCGGCCCTGCGCCTTGATGGCGCTCGCGTTGCCGCCCAGGTTGTAGCTCTCGTCTAGCGCCTTGAGCAGCTCGGCGGACAGCAGGTCCACCAGCTTGCCCACCACCCACCCCGCGGTGCCCAGCGCCACCTCCATCGCCGGCGCCGTCGAATATCACTCAATCTACTACAATGCTATGCGCGCGCGCGCGGCCGGGGGAATAAGTGTATGTATCGATCGTCTATGGCCCTGTCAAAGACTTGCCTAGCTAGTCTCTAAATAAAAACGTACGATGAGACTTGTCAACGGTTGGCTCTTATCATTGTAGCCAATCATATGTGTCCATTGACCCGAAAAAATAAATTATAACCTAAAAAGGGTTTCCAATGGAGGGCCCACAGTTAAAGTGGAGGCGAGATAATTAAGGAACAAATATATAAAATAAAAGTTAAAGATAATTTAAATAATGTGGAATTGAATCAAAGTAAGTAATTCATCTACATTTGCGAGCTCCTTGTGAAAAACCACATTAGGATCTTCTACCTAGTTTTTTACAATCCATCTCAAAATATAAGTATTTTTAGAATATTGTTAAGTCAAATATTTTTAGCTTCAATTATTAATAGCGACAACGCTGCCACGCCAGCTACGTATGACGTGATAAGAGTTATTTTGATAGGCTGACGTGGCCAAAAGATTTAGATTTAAAAATACTTTTTAGAATGATCTATTAATAAAATTTAAAAATAAAAAGTCTAAAATAATTTTTTTTTCGGGGAGGGGGGCTGCAGTACGTACAAGCAAAGAATATTTAAGAGAAGAGAGGAAGCAAGAAGGAAGAAGACAGTGGAAGTTCGTTGACCTTGGGTATTGTTATATACACACACGCAAGCGGTTTGGTAGGAACCGGAATGAGAGAGCTGTGCCATGTACTGATCCCAGTTGGATGATTGGATCCAAACTGACTGCAGCCGTGCAGCAGGTAGGCAACACACAGCACTGTAGCGGTGGGCTGCGGTTCGCCGCAGCAAGGCAGCTGACCAAGCTCAAAGGCCCAGCCAGTGGCCAGCCTAGCTAGAGGCATCTGGTAATTAATTTGGCCTCAATAGTGTCTATCTCTTCTTTCTATAAGAGCAGATACAATAGCAGGCTATAAGCCAGCTATAAACTTATTTTAAAGAGATAAAGTAAGAGAGAGAAGAGGAGTGGGCTACAGATTTATAGCCAGCTGCAGCACGGACTCCAAGACGTAATGTGTGTATGATAGGTGGGACCAGGTATTAATAGTATAGTAAGCAACTATTGTATGAATTGGCGATAGACGATTTGGAGCTAGTAGTGGGCTGCACTATTGACCTTGCTCTAAAGGTAAGGTCACTACCAACCCAAGACACTAGACATAGTTCATAAACTCCACATCAAAAAACTAGTATTAGACACTAATCTTAGAGCAAGTTTAATAGTATAATCAACTGTTGGCTCCAAATCATCTATAGTCAACTTAATAGCCAATTCATATAATAGTTACAACATATAGTACACAATCAATATCTAGTCCTACCTGTCATACACATATACGTCTGGTAGTCCGTACTGCAGCCCGCTGCTCTTATCTCTTATCTTTTATCTCCTTAAAATATGTTTATAGTTGGCTTAGTCTGCTATTATACCTGCTCTTACAATACAAACACCACTTTTTATACTTAAATTTAATGCTAGTTATCTCACATGATGTTTTGAATGTTGTGTAGAAACTATGTCTCATGCAAGACCTAGTTTCCTTCTCTTTCCTCATTTATTCACTTGCTATATGATCTTTCATCCTAAGAGCAATGCTAATAATACAACCGACTTATTGGCTATAAGGTTCTTTGCAGCCTTCTTTTAGTCCACACATAAAATAGTTAGCTATTTACAATTAATACATGGCTCGTTTGTCTCTCTCACAGAATTTTTTTGGTTCTTGTGTCCAAGCTGGCTGCAAGTTTACAGCCCGCTTCTCCTCTCTTCTCTCCTCTACCTCAATATTTAGCCGACTTACAGCCTACTATTATACTTGCTCTAAGTGGCAGCTTATTTAATGCTATGGACACCATCCTAGTCATTGGATTGGGAATGGCCTAATGCTCACTAAACACTTAAAGCTTAATGTACAAACATAACATTTATTAGCACTCCTAAAATTTACATGCAAGTATGCCACATCAACCCATTAAGCACACGAAACTCAACATGTAAGCATATAGTAATTATATCTACAATTTATTTCATTCTAAAACTATAACATATACATGCTAAATCATCATTCTCAAATCATTTTCATAATATTTCAATCCAAATCAATTCATCATTTCTCCAATATCTTAACATATACCCGCATCAAAGCGTGGGGCATCATCGAAAAAAAATACAAATATACTTATTTTTTCAATAATTAACATTTATATACTTATTGTGAGACGGATTAAATATACCCGTCCCACGGGACGGAAACGTGGGACCGCGACTGTCCCGCGGTTTCAAAGTGCGGGAGCGAGACATCTAGCGATTTATTTTCCAAGTCGGCACTGTTTGACACTGTTTTTGACTGTTTGCCACTGTTGTTGGCACTGTTTCAACCTGTTCAGGGGCCGGTTCCGCACATTGAACCTGCGGGGTCGTTGCCTGAACAGTGTCAAACAGTTCCAAACAGTGCCGAAGACAGTGCTACACAAGTTAAAAGAATCTGGCTGCCTCGCTTCCGCATTTTGAACCTGTGGGACCGTCGCGGGACCGGGTCCCGTGTTTTGGAGCTGCGGGACCATTGCGGTCCGTGTTTCTATTTCGCGGGATGGGTATATTTTTATAAATCCGACCGGTGCATGTACATAAATATAAATTATTAAAAATTTAAGTATATTAGCAAATTTTTTGGCATCATCTAGTATTACAATTGAGCGTAATAAATTTCTTATAGTAGAATCAGCCCATCAAAGTTCGAATCCGGGTGCTTGTATTTACGATTAATTATTATTATTATAGCATTTATAGCTAACTATTATTTTAGTGGTATGTGACGTACCCGTTGATAACAAGACGTCCTTTGTGACTTTTATTAATCTCAAGATTATTTTAGTAGTATGCAACGTACCCGTCGAAAGTGCGGCGCCCGTGATAACTTCATTAATCTCAAGATATACCGGCCCAGTTTTTCGAATGTGCTCATAGAGATATCATAGAGATAGAGCGTGTGTGTACGTTTATAGAGGTATTGTGCATGCGTCGTGAACATATGTATGTATTTGTAGCGTGTTTCTACAAAAGGAAAATTAAGGTTCATATTTGTGAAAATAATTGTATTGCCAATACACAGTACAGAAACGTGTGAAGTGGGTTGTGGAGGCTAGGATTCTTTTTTTTTTCTTTTTTTTTTTTGACAGGGATGCTAGGATTCAATCCATTATTAAAAATAAACGTGTGGAGTCGATATAATCTATTACACCAATTAACTAGTGTGCCCCCTGTGTGAACCAAAGCCAAATGGCAAACTAGCTATCTAATCATGCTGAGTTGAAAGCTAATTAGGACGTCCCTTGAACATACGAGGAGGGCATGACACATTGACACATACCATATTTACAAATAACCCTTGTACTTGGTTTGTGTTATATCATTCTTGTGTTTTTGTCACTACATAGATCTTCTCTCTGCTTTATACGTTTTTCTCTATCCAATCAGCAGTTATATAACGTTTGACTGACCACATACATAGTGTGGTGCCCTCATGTGTATGCCTACGTACGTGGAATCCTAACCAACATGCAACTCAACAGGATTGAGCAAGTTGGCCATGATTTGCCATTGTCACCGCAGTTCACACGCAGGATTGGGGAGGTTGTGCTGGCACAGTTGGGCGGCATCGCGCCCAGGCAAGGGCCACTGGTGGAGAAATCATCTTTCGTCGGTCGGCCGAATTCTACAATAGTCCCGGTTACAATAAAAACCGGGGCTAAAGATGATCTTTAGTCCCGGTTAAAAAGGGTAACGGGCATATTTGATCTTTAGTCCCGGTTCAAATGCTGCCAGGGCCTGTCAGGCCCCCCCGGGATCTTTAGTCCCGGTTGGTATTACCAACCGGGACTAAAGTCCCACCCCTATATATATATGTCTTCTTCCTCCTCCAGCTGCCCGAGCAAGCTTCAAAATTTCTTCAAAAAAGAGGGGATGTCATGCCAAAATTTCTAGTAAATTTATTTTGGTGATTATATACAAATCAGAGGTGCCTAAAAGGTTAGCAACTTCATCCTCCAATGTTTTTTTTGGTCATATTACATTTGGAGCTATGTTTTGCACACTTTTTTTCTCCAAAATTTACTTGTAAGTTGATGAGAGAGAAAATTTGTGTGGGGAAGAAATAATATATAGAAATTTAGTTTATTTGCTAAAGAAGGTTTTATAAAATAGTTGAGAAGGAAAATATAGTGAAAGTTAATCTTAAATAATAGAAAACAAACTAAAATGAAAATTAAAAGAAGTAAAACAAATTAATATTAGTTTAAAACTTTAGAAATAGTAAATAAGATTATTTGGTGTAATATTTTATGGTTTTTGTATGAATAATGATATGTCATTATTGTATGACTGTTGAAACAGTTTGTAATTATTTTATAATTATTGTATGACTGTCATTATTGTAAGAATAATTATTTGTGTACGATTTTTTTCATGTCATGTAGATCGATCGGCAATGGATGTATGCTGACCGTCGGTCCAAAGAGTTTATTGACGGCGTGCATTATTTTTTGAGAGTGGCCGAAGCTAACAGACATAAGGGTTTTATTTATTGTCCATGCAATAAGTGTAAGAATCAGAAGGAGTATTCTGCATCCAGGACAACAACAGTTAGCGTGCAAGCCAAACAGCACGCGGCGAACCTACTTAGTAACATTCAATCGCCACCGCGCCTCGTTACCATTTACCTAGTATACCTTATCGCGGACACTCCGTCCCATCCGAGATCCCAGCTTCCCCCTTTCCACCGCGGTCGCGCGCGGACGGAGGTCACGAATGTGCTTCAAGTCGATGCGTCACGCACGCATGCATCCACCCGCAAGTACCAAGTACACGCGCGGCGCCGGCGAGTGACCGCTTCCCCTTGCGGCCCCGCGCGCTGGGCCGTACGTGCCGCCGGCATCGTGCGCCCACGCGGCCGCGCGCTATCCCCTCCCGCTGCACTGCTACATTTCGCCGTCTCACGCGGCCCCGCCTCGGTCTGTGGCGGAGAGGTGGAGAGGAAGCCCGCGGCCGCGCCGCCGCCCGAGTGTTCGTCCGTCATCCTGGTTGCTGGTGGGCTGGGTTGGTCTGTCCTCTCGAACTAGAAAAAAGTCCAGTTTGACTCCCTCAAATATTGATCGAATCCGTTTTGTACCCTCGACCGTAAAATCGGTTATAATGTCTCCTTCAGTTGTTAAACCTGGTACAAAATAACTTCCAAACAGTATTGACTGTGGTTTTTTTATGACGTGGCATGTTGACTTAGTCAAACGAGCCGACGTGGATTTGGATGAAAAACAAAACATAAAAATAAATGGGACCCGCATGTAAGTGAGGTTCATTTCCTTTCCTACCAGCCCTTTTTCTCATGGCGAGTGGCAAGCTGAGTTTGATGCAGACTAGCGCCGAGGCAGGCGTGCAACTCCATGGTTAGAAGATGATGGCAATAGTGACGGTGGCGATCTACGAGCGATAAGGTAGTGGTTTGGCTGACTTGGTGGATGTGGAGAGTTGTATGTGGGATAGATCTTTTTTGGTGGACGCCACCATCGCTAAGCTCCCCGAGCTCCTTTGCCGTATGTCGCCCTGTTGTGGCAAGAACACAAGGAGGAGAGAGTGTGGGGTAGAGAAGAATAACATGCATGTGGGGCCTACTTATTTTTAAATTTTTTTGTTATGACAAGGCTGTCACCTAGATGACACATCAGCGAAAAACATCCTCAAAACAGCTAAGGAAGAGTGGTTATACCCAGTTTTATGGGTGATGGATATAAATTAGATCTGACCTATATGTGAGGGAATCATAATGGACTTGTTTGGAAAATCTTGCTGCAAAGGCCTTGATTCAAGTCTCCAAGCACCAAGTGTACTGTCTGTTTATACATGCTGTCATGGTTACGGATAAGGCATACCTCATATCCTATGACTTATGAAATATATGGATACGGCATACCTTCACGTACATGGATTGTTCCCGTGTACGCCGTAGGAATCTGTTACAAATTATGGAAAATATATCTATGAGTCAAGTGATTTCTAAAGTCCTGCTCAGAGGAGGTAGAGTTTCTGTTATATCGTACAAGATCCGATGTCTCTGAGTCTTACTTAGAGATCAAGATGATCCACGGTATAAAAGGGACACCCAGGGAGGGGTGCAAGGCATCGAATCTCATCGCCAACACACCCACCATAGTTTACGAAGCCGGAGTACGTGGAGCCAAGTCGCCAGGAGATCTCGTCGAATACATCGACTACGATCTCGTCGGTATCGTCAATCCTGTCTATTTCCATTGTAATATGTGGTTTTCTATCATCAATCTCATATAAACTGGAGTAAGGTAATTATCTGATAAGGGACCCAAACCAGTATAATCCTTGTCTTTTGTCTGTTTGATGTCGTATTACGTAGATCCTCGTTCCAATGTACTCCAATACCCTAATCATCCGGTCTACGAGTATCACTTGTCGACACATGTTTTGAGTACTCTGTAGCCTTCTATGCTTCCTGACATGATGTTACAATCTGATTTTGGTAAGGTAGGAACTTCTGGCTGTGTTTAGTTCCCTTCAAACTTTCAACTTTTCCATCACATCAAATGTTTGGACATATATATGGAGTATTAAATGTGGACGAAAAAAAACTAATTACACAGTTTGTATGTAAATTGCGAGATGAATCTTTTTGAGCCTAATTACGCTATGATTTGACAATGTTGTGCTACAGTAAATATTTACTAATAACGGATTAATTAGACTTAATAGATTCGTCTTGCAGTTTACAGGCGGAATCTGTAATTTGTTTTGTTATTAGTTCACGTTTAATACTTCAAATATGTGTCCGTATACGTTAAATTTTTTTTTTGCCAAAATAACTAAACAAGGCCTCAGTATCTTATCACCTTTTACATGTAGTTCTGCATGTATTTTAGTTCCTGATTTTTTTTTCTCCATGTAAGCACGTTATTTTCCGTACTTTTTCCTGAGAGCAAGGAAACACATGAACACAGCGCAATTGACATGTGAAAAATAGAAAAAGGCTTCCCTTGCCTACTTCCTTTCGGAAAATGGATGTAAATTACAGCTGTTTCTTTGCAAAAGCGATCCGAAACTCTGCAAATCCCTGTGAACGTTATCGTGTCTCTTGTTCCTCTTAATCAAACTATCTCTCCTTTTATCATCACATAAAAGGTTTCTTGCCCCTGTTCTGGAAATTGGAATGTAATTATGATTTTACCTCTTCTTTTAATGAAGGTTTGTGATTTTGCTACTTTCCTTTTTCAACCGAAGCTCTGTTTGCCCTTGGTAACACATGGGAGACATTAAATAAAAAAAATATGTCCATGCATGGGACATCAAACATTTGGGGATTAATTTAAGTTAAACAATTAATTTAATGCTCCATACATATGTAAAACAATTAATTTAAGTCAAACACATGGGACACATTAATTGTTGACTTAAATTAATCCCCAAAGCTGATTTGTTCCGTGAACAACACAGAATATCTCCAAGAATTATCAAATTTCACCCCTCCCTAGATAGCAGTAGGACTTTATTGAAGTTTGTTTCTGTTGCGAAAATTTATAAATTACTAACTCGCAAAAAGGAAATAAAAACTTGAAGAAAATTATTTCTCTTCCCGCCCTAGATTAGGCCTGAGCCCAGTAGCTAGCAGGCCTTATCTGGGCCGTCCATATCAAGCCCAAAAGTTTTCTTCACCACGCAGCCCAGAGTAAGACGTCCCCACGATTGATTGAGTCGTCATCGCGGCGCGACATCTCCTTGAGGCGGCATCTCTGACCCTGCCTCGCGCGCGCGCGCTACTTCCAATTCGCCATCGCCACCCGAGGTATGATTCTTCTTCCTCCCGCCTCCCTCCTCTCCTTGTTGCTTCTTCGCCCCTCGATCGACGAGCTAGATTCCTGCGCGGCCATTCTCAAACCCTGCTGCTCCCATTCGAGCTGAGGACTAAAATACACTGCTGTGCTGATTTTTTTTTAGCTTTCCTGCTTTCTGCACCGTCCACGCCCACCACCTGTTCGACGAAACGCTGCTGCGCGTCCTGGGCCACCACAGCGACGGCCGACGGGCTGATCATGGAACCGCAGCAAGTACCCATCAATGACAGGCTCAGCAACCTCTCCAATGATCTCATCTGCCGGATCATCTCCAACCTGGACTCGCGCCAGGCCGTGCAGACATCCCTGCTGTCAAGGCGATGGCGCAACCTCTGGTGCTCACTGACCAGCATAAAAGTTGACTTCTGCGAGTTCGACGGAGAGACCGACTCATGGGAAGGGGACCAGGCGCGGTTCAGGAAGTTCGTCAACAATCTGCTGCTGCGCCGTGACCCCGTCCCCGTGCTAGACAAGTTCTGCCTCAGATCCTACATACCGCACGGTGCCAATGATCAGGAAGCCTCGGCAGACGCTAACCTGTGGATCAGCCATGCGTTACAGTTGAAAGCCCCAGTAGTGGAGGTTGACCAAGATATCCAAACACGGGACACGTTGGAGCTTGGTGGTCATGCCGTATTTGCCTCACAGTACTTAACAAGATTGGTCCTCTCTGCAGTTTCCTTTACCCAAGGTTTCTTCAAGCAACTCGAGATTGGTTGTTCGAAGTTGGAACATCTTTCCATATATGACAGCATCATTTGCGTCGATATATCTTCCAAAACACTGAAGGTCTTGATCATTGATAACTCTGAGTTCTCTTATGACTACAATACTTCCATTTCTACTCCGAGCGCCACTTCTCTGACCTTGATTGATCTTGGAGGCCGTCTACCTTTACTAAAAGACATGGGATCACTCGTGTCTGCTTCAGTTTATCTTACCCGTGAGGCCATTCCTTTGGATACTGCTATCAATATTGATCAGTGGTTCATGGGCCTGTCGGGTGTAAGACACCTTGCCTTGGATTTTCCAGTGGAAGTGGTATGTATCCTGATCAGATATATTTACCTTTTCTTGGTATGTGGATGCATCTTTAGATATGTATCAGTATGAAAAATTTAGAAGTTTGTTGTATCTCCTTGGCACTTCACACTTAAACTAGATAAGCTATTCTTTCCTGCAAAACGAAGTTTTGAATAATTGATTCTTTTGTCATGATGTATTGAAATGATGATGAATTCTGTCATGGACCAACCTGATGCAATCTATTTCTAGTACTCGTTCATTTACAGATTCATCAACCTGTTGATCTGACTTATCTTTAATAGGCAGTTCGATTTGAGACAGCATGCACCTGGAGCATTTTCCATTCATTCAGAACTACATGTTCTGATGTGATTGCGATACATTGTTGATTAGTTAATTTACATGGGAACTAGTCTGTAAAAGTCAAAAACTCAAAATATAGAAAATGTTGTAGCGATTCTTCAAAGTATCAAGGGCACATTTGATATGGATGAAAATGTGGATGAAGCCATTGTGTTTCACTAGTATAACCACCTAACTTGCATGGAAATCTTTATGGCGATTAATTCTCATATGATCCAGGTTATGCACTCCAATTGAATAAATCAAGCACAACATTCTTCAATATTTACTTTTTGTTTATATTGTGTTTCTATCCTGGTATTTTAGCATCCACTGTCTTGGAGCTACTGCTATACTTGAAAGTTTTGCAGTAACCACTCAATCAGTGTGCTTATCGCATAGTTTTAGTGCCCCTTTTTTTCTGGCCATGCTTGGGTGAATCAGGAAAAGTTTTTTTTGTAGTATGACATGGGTTATTGGGTTTTGTGTAGTCTCCTGATGATTTATATCTGGTGTAGATAAAAATCAAAGACAATATGCAATGGTGTCCGAAATTCAACAATCTTGTAAACCTGACGCTGGGTCGATGGTGTCTGGACTCAAAGTTGTATGCATTAACTGTCTTCCTTCAGAACTCACCGAAACTGGAGAAGCTGAGACTAGAGATTGATGAGGTACAAGATTTTTGCACCCATACACTGAAATGTTAATTACATGAAAGTTTTTGCACGTGCCTATGTGCTATCGGTACAAAACTTACTGTTTCCCTGCTATAGGGTTATACTGCTAAAGATATCAAAGGCGAGCTTAAAGAAAGATCATTTACATGTGAGCACCTTAAGATTGTCGAGGTCGACTGCGTGGAGGATGATCCCCTGGAAGTCGAATGCTTGGAGGATGAGCCGGATCCCCTGGTCAACCGTGTGAAGAAATTCTTTCGCAATAGTGGCATGACCTCTATTCAGATTAATATCACACACTTGGACTACCACCTGCCTTACGAATGTGAGATTTTCAGAGAGGATCACAAGCGTCCAAGGATCAGGCAGTAACTTGCATTGTCAAATTGTCATCATTCAATCACTGTTTTGTGGAGGCATGGGGCTAGACTTTCATCAACTTTCATCCAGCCGAGTTTGAGGGCACGTAGAAATGTTTACTGCTCTATTTTCTGATGCAATTACTTGAGGACAAACAATTGTGTCAGTTGCATGAAAGGCCTGCCTTCTTGCACTGCCGGCGATATATGCTTGTCCCGACAGATTACTTGTTTGTTTGGAAAATTTTGCTGCAAAGATCTTGATCATTAGTCGTTGGCACTTGTGTTGATGCTCCATGCACCGAGTGAACTTTGTGTTACATGTTTGAGTACCCTGCAGCCTTGTATGATCCTGGCGTGTTGTTAGAATTGCATGACCTTTCACTTCTCGTTGCTATCAATCCGATTCCGACGGTTTCTGGTATGGTGTGAAGTAGGGGACATCAGTATTTGTCAGCTTTGACATGTTCTTCTGCATGTATTTTCATTTCAGATTCTTTTCTGCATGTACCGAGAAAAAGAATGTGTATTCTCTTCTTGTACTATCTCAGTTTTCCGCGCGCACTCCCTAAACTGCTAACACTGTGCTAACACTCTGTGTTTCTATAAGAAAATGTTATATGAACGTTGATTTAAAAAAATCATAATCTATTTTTTTATTTTCTTAGCCAATACTTATTTAATCATATGCTAACATATCGCTCCGTTTTACGTGCTAGAGAGAGAGAGAGAGAGGGGGGGTTCCAACCCTGTCAAAAGAACACAGCCTAAAGTACCTATGCTCATTTTAACTCTATTTCAAAGCATATACCTTTTCATTTCTAAATTATTTTAAAAGGTCAAAACTATTATTTTCTATATAATTTAGCAGGGGCCCTTTTTTTTCTAAAATAATACTCCTTCCATTTCATATTATAAGTCGCTTTAATTTTTTTCTAGTCAACCTTCTTTATATTTGATTAAATTTGTAAAAAAAAATTAGCAACATCTATAACACCACATTAGTTTCATTAGATATAACACTAAATATATTTTGATAATATGTTTGTTTTGTATTAAAAATATTTCTATTCTTTTCTATAAACTCGAACAAACTTAAAAAGAAATTTGACTAGAAAAAAGTTAAAATCTATTGTATTATTAAAAACAGTTTTGAAAGGAGGCACCACGTCCGCTGTAGAGGCTAGAAATTCCCACATTAATCAAAGAAAAAGAAAAATATTTGAAACGTCAGATCATGGAGGGTTCAGATTATAACAGTGGAGATTGATTATATGTAATAAATAAAAACGAATAACTTTGGACTCCGGTTAGGAGTCGGACACCGAGCCAACACAAGGCTGAAGTTCTTTTCGAACTCCAAACCGTGCTATGCCAAGCAACAGGACAGGACACGTTCTCAGATTTTTTTTTCTAAAGATATAAAGATATATAACTAGCAGAAATCAATACCGGCTAATCCTATTCACTAATTACAAAAAATTCTTAATGACCAGCATATGCTTTTTTTAAGGACCAGCACATGCTAATTTTTAAAATATACGTGCGAGTTATAAAGATGGGTTCGCTTTCAAGTTTCTAACCTTAAATACTACAAAGCACCTTTTGCATAGTCAAAGAAATCAAATGTACATATCAAAATTTATGCAAACAAATACTTCCCCAGTTTTTTTTTACAAAGTGTCATATAAAAAAATAAAGTATTAAGAAAACTTTGAAAGGAGGCATCACATTCACTCTAGAAGCTAGATATTCACACATTACTCAGAGAAAAAGAAACATGTCAAATAGAAATACGATTTAGGATAACTCAAATTCAAAATAAAAAATAAAAAAATTTGAAATTCCAAATGAACATAAAAATACCATTAAAATACAAAACAAAATATAATAAAAAAAATAAGTAAAGACTACAGACCAAGAAGTGTACAAGCAAAACATAATCTATACATATCCAAAATTAAGAGTAGCTAAAATTCAAAATAAAAAAATAAATTCCAAAATTGTTTTTAAATACTAATTCTAAATAAACTTAAATTATTTTAATAAAGTAGGAAGTCTATTTGGAAATAATTGAAATTTGGAATAAAATATATTAAGAAAACAAAATTTTGTGTTGCGATTGATATATGGGCCCTAAAAGAAAACAACAATGCTCACTTTGCATATCTAGAAATTATACCACATTAGTTGAAGAAAATAGAAAAGGCTACATTGTATGGTGAAATTAGATTATAAGATTATAGACTAACAAAAATAAATAAATGAAGATTTTGAGAAGAATTGCACTCTTTTTTTTTATCTAAACAAGAGGTACAGATGTGTTCTATTTTCATTACCAAAATGGCAAAATCTAGGATTGACAATTAAAGAAAGACACACCGGGCTTTAGAAAAACTTTTCATAAATTAGTCCTACCGAGGCTACGGGAGTGTGAGCTGCTCAAGTGGCGAATAGTAGGACTATGAGAGGATGACCCAATGGATAGAGAATGAGTAAGTGTTAACAGTGAAATTTGGTAATCGGCAAAGACGTCATCGGCTTAGAATCATTATCGGCTGCAGCATCTCGCAATCAGCCGATAGGAGTTATCAAGTCATAAATAGTCGGATTCCTGCTATATTCGGTTAACGAAATCAATCTACTAAAGGAGGCTTATCCCTAAGTGACCGAGTTTAAAGAGGATGCGGCATGGCAGTTTATCTATTAATTAGGAATAGTTTGTTAGTTTCCTTTTATCTTTAGGAAAGTGTGTTTAGTGTCCGATAAGGACTTTATATTTTCCTTTTATCTTTAGGTTAGTTTCTTTCTTGTCCGACAAGGACTTGTATCAACCCATGGGTATAAATATGTACACCCGGGGTCTATGTAATCTATCTCTACGATCAATACAATTCGGCGCATCGCCACCCTTTTTACTTCTACTTTTGTTTTTTACGTTCCGGCGAACTTGGCACCCGACGCGAGGCTGCATCGTCTTCGATCTCCGGCGAAGGGATAAGTCCAATGTTCCGTCGGCCTAGGCAATTATCTCATCTACATCGGCGTCGTTCAAGGCTGCATCAGTACATTCGACCTCTTGGATTGCTCTGGTTTGGATGATATATTTGCCTACCTATTTATCATATGTCTCTATTAATCTAGTCTTAGCATATCAATTTAGCTCTATCAGCTGCTTCTCGTTTTAGGGTTTCTGCCGATATCGGCTAAATCGCATTGCTAGATTAGATTAGCTCAGACATCTACCACCCTAAAAATCGGTCAACGGCTTGATTATCTAGATATTGTATTTCTTTTCATACTTAGTGCTGCATCAGTTAAGTTTGATATATTAAGTCGTGCTTAGAACCATAATCTCTAGCATGCTTCTTGATTGCCAATAAGGGTTTCATCGGGGTTTTAGCCGGTCAGTTATCTGGATGTTGCATCGGCTCATAAGGATTGCACATACATATAAGTTGGATTTCGCCGATGACAACAAAGGTTCCACTGTTTAATCTAATCTTGTGGATTTCATGACATCGGAACTCCAGCCGATGTGTGCTTTAACCTTCGGATCGATGCTTATTTATCATATCATTGCTAGCCGATTGGTTTATACTAGATTATATTGTTATTTTATTGCATCATCATCAGCCGATTGCCTTTATATCATTATCTACATTGGACATATAGCCGATTGCTTAAACCCTATCGCTATCGGCTGGTATCGGCATCGGCTATTATTGGCTACCGGCTGGAACTACTCCATCGGCTTGTCAGCCGATTGGCTGTTTTGATCTGCTGTTTACATATCTTGTCAGTCAACGGCTTGATTGTCTAGATATTATGTTTCTTTTCATACTTAGTGCTGCATCAGTTAAGTTTGAGCACTAAGTATGAAAAGAAACATAATATCTAGACAATCATGCTGTTGACTGATTTTTAGGGTGGTAGATGTCTGAGCTAATCTAATCTAGCAACAGGATTTAGTCGATATCGGCAGAAACCCTAAAACGAGAAGCAGCCGATAGAGCTAAATTGATATGCTAAGACTAGATTAATAGAGACATATGATAAATAGGTAGGCAAATATATCATCCAAACCAGAGCAATCCAAGAGGTCGAATGTACTGATGTAGCCTTGAACGACGCCGATGTAGATGAGACAATTGCCTGGGCCGACGGAACATTGGACTTATCCTTTCGCCGGAGATCGATCGAAGACGATGCAGCCCCGCGTCGGGTGCCAAGTTCCGCCGTAGTAGAAGTAAAAAGGGTTGCGATGCGCCGAATTGTATTGATCGTAGAGATAGATTACATAGACCCCGGGTGTACATATTTATACCCATGGGTTGATACAAGTCCTTATTTTGTTATTTTTGGGCATGCTTTGGGTGAATCAGGATAACTTTTGTGTAGTATATGGCATGGGTTTTGTGTATCCTCCTGATCATTTATACCTGGTGCAGATAATATTGAAGACAATATGCAATGGTGTTCGAAACTCAACAATCTTGTAAACCTGACGCTGGGTCGATGGTGCCTGGACTCAAAGTTGTATGCATTAACTGTCTTCCTTCAGAACTCACCGAAACTGGAGAAGCTGAGGCTAGAAATCGATGAGGTACAAGATTTTTCCACTTGTATCCTGAAATGTTAATTACATGAAAGTTTTTGCACGTGCATATGTGTTATAGATATAAAACTTACTGTTTCCCCGCTATAGGGGTATACTGCTGAAAAAATCACATGCGAGCTTCAAGAAAGATCATTTACATGTGAGCACCTTAAGATTGTCGAGGTCGCATGCGTGGAGGATGATCCCCTGGAAGTCACATGCTTGGAGGATGATGATGATGATGATCCCTTGGTCGATCGTGTGGAGAAATTCTTTCGCGATAGTGGCATGACCTCTCTTGAGGTTAATATCACACACTTTGACTACCACCAGCCTTACGAATGTGATATTTTCAGAGAGGATCACAAGCGTCCAAGGATCAGGCAATAACTGTTTTGTGGGGGTGGAGATGCATCGATTTCGTCCAGCCGGATTTGGAGGCACATTGATATGCTTACTGCTCTTCTTGCACTGCCGGCGATTGATGCTTGTTTTGACAGATTGGATGTATTACTTGTTTGGAAATTTTTGCACTGATACAGAGTGGATCACTTGTTTGTTTGGAAAATTTTGCCGCAAATACCTTGATTACTGTTTGTTAATTGTTACATTTTTAGTACCCTGCAGCCTTTTATGATTCCTGGCGCGTGTTGTCAGAATTTCAAGACCTGCTTTCACTTCTGATTGCATTTGATTTTGGTATGTTAGGAAGTAGGGACTTCAGTATTTGTTAGCTTTGACATGTTCTTGTGCATGTGTTTTTGTTCTGCACATTATTTTCATATCTTTTGAGAAGCAAGGAAAGGAAGTAATACGGAACAATTATACATATGCGAATGTGCTTTCAATTGTATTTAGTAAGGTCACAGGGTTGCCGCTGGCCTCTTCCCTTTAAACGTACTCCCTCCATCTTAAAAAAAAGACAAACCCTGGGTTTGAATCTGGACATGGGTTTGTCTTTTTTTTAAGACGAAGGGAGTATGTTTGTGCGCATTTTGTGGGTGGTATGCGTGCATTGAGATGTGTATGTATATGTGTCTTTGTGTAATAAAAAAATGAGAAAAAGTTAAAAAAAACTACCATTTCCTATTAACACATCCTTCCTTAATATAAGACCTCTGTTTCAGGTTATAAGACTTTCTAGCATTGCTCATATTCATATAGATGTTAATGAATTTAGACATACATATATGTCTAGATTCATTAATATATATATATATATATATATATATATATATATATATATATATATATATATATATATATATATATATATATATATATATATATATATGAATGTGGACAATGCTAGAAAGTCTTATAATATGAAACGGAGGAAGTAGCAACCTAATACCGTATGTAACACATTTTAGTATATTCAGATTTGTAGTATTAGGATGCGATGGATGAATGGTATACTTAGTATGGAATGGATATGTATAAGGGGAAGAGGCCACCCGTTTACAATGCGAAATGGTTGTCAAAAAGTAAGTTTGAATTCCCCTCTTTTTAGAAAGTCTTATAATATGAAACAGAGAAAGTAGCAACCTAATACCGTATGTAACACATTCTAGTATATTCAGATTTGTAGTATTAGGATGCGATGGATGAATGGTATACTTAGTATGAAATGGATATGTATAAAGGGAAAAATGGTTGTTCAAAGGGTAAGTTTGAATTCCCCTCTTTTTAGAAAGTCTTATAATATGAAACGGATGAAGTAGCAACCTAATACCGTATGCAACACATTCTAGTATATTCAAATTTGTAATATTAGGATGCGATGGATGAATGGTATACTTAGTATGGAATGGATATGTATAAAGGGAAGAGGCCACCCTTTTACAATGCGAAATGGTTGTCCAAAGGGTAAGTTTGAATTCCCCTCTTTTTGATTCGATTGGATGAATGGTATACTTAGTATGGAATGGATATGTATAAAGGGAAGAGGCCACCCTTTTACAATGCGAAATGGTTGTCCAAATGGTAAGTTTGTATTCCCCTCTTTTTGATTCGATTGGGATGCATAGTTTGTTGATTCTATTGGGTTCGTTTTTTACTGTAATTGTCGTTGCACTGTAGGATGGATCCGAACTCTACTAATAACTCAATCTGAACTCAGAACCTTGGGGTGTTACTCAGGTCACTGTAACCACTAGGCTACATGCCCTTTCACAACTGGGTTGTATACAAGAATACAATATGCTTGATAGATCCAATGAATGGTTTCGATGATGAAACCAAATGTGGTAGTACACAGGAGATGGCAGTGACTTTCTGGGACAAGAGAGTGTGTAGGGATGTTGAGATTTCTTTTGATGTTGTTTTACTATAAGCTTTTAATTAATACACTAAAATAATTAGTGCAATGTCCGTTCACAAATTACGAGGTTTATAAAGTGTTTTCCTTCAAAACTCGCTTCTTGTGATGTCCTATAGTTAAAACCACGAAATCATGATACGCTATAGAAAAAAAATATAGGGTTAGTTGGATCCATGCCCTTATAGACAAACTAAAAGAGATAAAAGGAGAGTAACAAGCACAAACTATCTCAACAAAGCTATGGCTAAGAGAAGCTCAACAAACCCACGATTCATCACGGCTTCTTGATTCTTGGGTTTTTCCCTTTCCGCAGCTTTCCGCGCACGCCACCTGTTCGACGGAACGCCCTTGTGATCCCTAGCGTGCCACCGCCGCTGGCGATCGAGGTAATGCTCCTTCCTCCTCCCGCTGCTCTCCCTCTTCTTGCTGTTGCTTCTTCAACCTTCGATCGATGGGCTTTTCCTGCACGTCGGCCATTATCAGATCAGTGGAGGACTCGTGCGCGCGGCTGATTCTTGATTTTTGCAGCTCTCTGCACCATCCACGCCCACCACCTGTTCGACGAAACGCCTCAGCGCCTCTTGGGTCACCGGGTTGGCTCATGGAACCGGAGAAAGCACCCGGCAGAGGCAGGCTCATGCTCAGCGACCTCCCCGACGACCTCATCCGCCGCATCATGTCCTTCCTCTACGCGCGCCAAGCCGTGCGGACGTGCGTGCTGTCCCGGCGCTGGCGCGACCTCTGGCGCTCCCTCACCCGCATCAACGCCGACTTCTGCGAGTTCAAGGGGGACACCAGGACATGGGTGGGGGACAAGGCGCGGTTCGAGAAGTTCCTCAACGCTCTACTGTTGCGCCGTGACCCCGTCCTATTGGTGGACAAGTTCTGGCTCAGATGCCCCAGCTGCAGCTTCGGGGTTTACTCATTAGATGCTAACCTGTGGATCAGCCATGTGTTACAGTTGCAAGCCCCGGTTCTGGATGTTCGCGCAGTGGGCATCAGCCGTCTCAATCAGGCAGTATTTACCTCCCAGTACTTGAGAAGATTGGCCCTCTCCTCGGTTGTTTTGTCCAAAGGTTTCTTCAATCAACTCAAGATGCGCTGCCCGGAATTGGAATGTCTCTTCTTGCGAGACTGCCATATTCACGATCATCACATCTCCTCCCAGACACTGAAGATCCTCACAATCAATATCTCTGATTTCAGTTTCGTTGACAAGTACGATTGCTGCATTTCCACTCCGAGCGTCACTGCTCTGACATTGTTTGGTCCGAAAGGGCGGGTACCTTTGCTACAGGACATGGCATCACTAGTGTCTGCTTCAGTTTATCTTGCCAATGATTTCAGTAATTTTGGTACTGCTGGTGATGTCCATCGGTTGCTCACAAGCTTATCTGGTGTCAAATATTTGGCCTTGGATTTTGATGGGGTAAATGAGGTATGTATCCTGTCACCCTTTTCTTAGTATGTCGAATTGTCAATGCATCTTCAGATCGTACGAAAAAACAAGAAGCATAGTGTGTCTTCTTGACACTTCACAATTGAACTATATTAGCTATTCTTTCCTGCAAAGCTAAGTGTTGTACTTAATCGGTACTTTTGACGTGATGTATCAATAGAACAATTGATGGTGTCTAGGATTAAATTGCAATCTATTTCGTGTACTCAGTTCATTTACAGATTCATCAACCTGTTGAACTGACTTATCTTTGTGCAAGGTTTGATTTCAGACAGCAACTGGATCATTTACATTTCATTCACATCTACATGTTCTGATGTTCAGATTAATTAACTTACATGAAGCTAGTACATACATAATTGAGAACTAAATGACAAAAGTCAGAAAATGCTTCAGAATTGTTCAAAGGCTTACTCTCATTGCCACTTGTCACAATAGATTGACATTGTATTTTCAATTTGTAGATACCTAATTTTGCACGGGATACGTCGTCGTAATTAATTACCATATGATCCAGCTTATGTATTCCTATTGAATAAAGCAAGTATACCCTTGTTTCATGTGGATTTCCATTAGAACGGTTTATGTTTCTGTCAAGGTCTTTTAACATCTAGTGTCTTGGAGCTATAGCAATACCTGAAAGATTCTGGCAACCACTCAATCTGAGTAGTTGTCACACAATTGTTGTTGCAAATGATCAGGTGTCTTGTTGTTACTTGTTACCGGCGTGTGCTGGTTTACTTGGCTCCTGACTGCCTTGTCTTCGTTCAACCCAGCTAATTTTTGGCTTGTTTGGGTGAATAAGGAAAAGTTTTATATAATATGGCATGTGTTTTTTCTAGCTCCTGATCATTTGAACCTGGTGCAGGTGCAGATAACAAATGAAAACAATATACAATGGTGTCCAGAATTCATTGATCTTGTAAGCCTGACTCTGGGTTCGTGGTGTCTGGAGTCAAACTTCTATGGACTGACTGTCTTCCTTCAGAACTCACCGAAACTGGAGAAGCTGACATTGAAACTCAATAAAGTACAAGTCTTTCTCTGCATGTATACTGAAACCTTGATTACATAAATGCTTTTGCATGTGCATATATTTATCGGCATAAAACTTGCTGTTTTCCTTGCTATAGGTTCATACTCGAAGAATCGTTGGCAAGCTTAAAGAAAAATCATTTACTTGTGAACGCCTTAAGGTTGTTGAAGTCATATGCATTGGGGATGATCCTCTGGTGAACTGCGTGGAAGAATTCTTTTTCAACAGCGGCATGACCTCTCTTCAGATTAGAATCAACCACCTGGACGGCTACGAGCTTTATGAACCTAGGTTATACAGAGATGAGTACAGGCGTCGACAGTACATGGGTTAATTTGCATTGTCACCATTCAATCTCTCCATTTGTAGGATGAACCTACATGCATTTCATCCAGCGAATTTAAAAGGCACATAGATATTTTTACTGCTCTTGTTTTTGGTGATATGACTTGAGGACAAACAGTTGTCTTGAGTTTTTGACGAGATGAGTAGAGGAATCAAAGGATTATGCATTAACGTCGTAACTTGCAATGCCATCATTCAATCACTCTGTTTGTAGGATGGATCAATATACATTTCGTCCATTTCATCTCATTGACACTCGGCAACGATGTCGACGTTTATATTAAATCTGCACGTCTCACCCTTCAGCTAGCGTTGTTTTTTACTTAGCGAATGATGCTCTGTCTTCAATAATTTTAAGAATTGTTCTTGTCCATCTAATACAATTTAGACAGAGAAGAAATTGCTCCCATACATGACATTCATAAATCATGGTTGTCCGATGCCAATCAGGCTCAAACTTTTTTTTTGAGGAAGACGACGGCAGGAGCTCTGCCGGAATTTGATTAAGAAAGAAAACAGAATACAAACAGATCCTTGATTACAAAAGATAAAAAAACACAGCTCAAGGAGGCTTAAACGCCCAGCTACGTAAGTCTAAGTCATGTTTCACTAAGTGAGCCACTTCTCTTTCCGAAAGGCTTTTATGATTAAAAATCCTTCTATTTCTTTCTAACCAAATATTCCACCACGTTGTGAGCAAGGCTCCTCTTGTTGCGATCTTATCAACCTTTGAAACAGTCAGATTTACCTTGGACCACCAGTTTGTAGCTCCAGCTTGCGGATTGGAGGTAGAAATTGATAAGTTTTGCCAAGCAGGAACCACCTCCCGAACAAAGTCACATTCACTGAACAAATGATTTGTGTCTTCGAACGCACTCGAGCAGAGGCAACAAATCCAATCACACGGCCAGTGTCTTATGAGAAGGTTTTGTGCTGTAAGAGTTTTTTGATGAAGAATCAACCACCCCAAAAATTTCATTTTTGGTTCAGCTGGTGCTTTCCAAATTGATTTAAAATCAATTGAGGTAAATGAGCCTTCAAATTGGTACAAGTAGGCACTCTTGTATGAGTAAACACCTGATTCAGACCAATTCCAAGTGATGTCATCTGGATTTTGATGGAGTTGAACATTCTAGATCATTCCCCCCAGATGCACTAGTTCGTTCAATTCCTCCACTCAGGCTCAAACTCCTCACATGTTTATATAAAATATTATCTAGATTCGATATTTGATAACCTGGATGGTCCAACCCCACAAGGGTCCTATTTGCATTCCATATTAATCGCTTGACAAAAATGATATATGTGGTGTGCGTGTGTATGCGCCACTGGAGATAATTTTTATATCCATAGCTACAAATTCAAAACGCATCCACAACTCATCTATCTGTGCTTCACGATTTTGCTTTTCTGTTGGCCGGGCTACGCAACTGCGCAGCACTACGGCGGGTGTTTTGGCTCCCTTCAGATGCCGATGCTGGTCACGCAAATTTTTGCATAGCAGTGCGGCGTTGCTTGTGTTGACGAGGGTGAACAACTCGACGCAGAGTGGTTGGTGCAGATGCACGGCACGACACGAGTTTGTATCTCCACCTTCGACAATCTCCACGGCACGGCACGCCTGCTTGCGAACTGCTGGTGAGTTTTATTCTCTCATAGCACCGCCGACAGATGGATTGGACGTGGGTATTTTAGGGGCTATGAGCAGATCGGAGCACGCAGCAAGTCCTGCTGCCCTCGGCAGTATGGTTTGCAACGCTTTTAGAGCATTAACAATAGAGTAATAATCTATCCTAAAATTTGATTTTGGATTTCCTAAACTGAAAATAAAAAACGATAAAACTCGAGCATCTCATTCTATTTTATAAACTGAAAATAAAAAGCGATAAAACTCGAGCATCTCATTCTATTTTATTCTTTTGGGATTTAATTTAGACTATCTCTTGAAAGCAAAAGTTTTTTTTTACTTTCTATTATTAATTTAGAAGAAAAAAAATAAATTTTGGAGATAGATTATTGCTAATTGTTGATGATGCTCTTATATAGCCAGGGATGGCAGCGGCGGCCGCGCCAGATCCTCAACGGCATCTGTTAATCCAGCGCTTAATCACGCGGCATCTCTTAATCCAGCGCTTAATCACGCGTGGCCATTTAATTAGTTTTGATCACACCCGAATATCTGATACCTAACGGAAGCATGTAGCTGACTAGGAGTCAGGTTACTCGATGAATGACAGTGTGGGTCCATTAATCCCTTGAGCTTTCCAAGGTTTATCTCCTCGCTAGAGATAAGGACATTCCCAACCCAATGACTAGGATGATGTCCATAGCATTAAATAAGTTGTCACATAGAAAAAAAAATGATGTGGCAAGTGAATAAATGAGGAAAAAGAATGAAACTATGTCTTGCATGATACATGGTTTCTACACAACATCCAAGACATCATGTGAGATAAGTAGCATTAAATTGAAGTATGGAATAGTGGTGTTTATATTGGAAGAATAGTGTCTAGTACTAGTTTCTTAATGATGTGGAGTTTATAGAAACCATGTCTAGTGTTATGGGTTGGGACTGCTCTAATAGCCATGCATGAACTTAACTGTAGCAACAAACCAAATCAACTTACAGCATATGCTAGCCAATACTAGTTGATTTTTTCCCCCAAATAATCTTTGGCAACTCATTTTTTTTATGATCATGTGCCATATGAAAAATTCGTTTGAGTTTATGGTCTTCACTCATAATATAGATCAAAACGAGTCCAATATCGTATATATTTAATTGGACATCGTTTATTATTTGTACTTTAGGCTCACATGTCATTAAAAAAAATATTATTTGCATATAATTAATGTCAAATAATTTATTATTTTAGGATGAATTTTGGTAAAAAATTCATCAAACAGGGCTTTGATCGGGCGATGTGGTGCCTTTCGATTTGCAAATAAGTATCTAGATTGTTTGGGAGAAAAAACGAAGCTGAGACATGGTCACTTTGCAAAACTATCTCCATCTCCAGAGTCCCACGCTTGGCTTTATGGAGAAAGAAAAATCCATCTAGAAGAAAAATCCGTCGAGAAAAAAATAAGAAAGAAGAAAGGAAAAAAAAAAGGCCCCTATGGTCTTTGTACACAGAGGAGAGAAGTGCAAAGTAACAATGGGGATTTCCTGAAAAAAAATAACAATTTTCCTATATATTTGTTGATAAATTTTCTTCTAAAAATTTGATAAATGTAATTACAATATAATCATAATGTAATTATACTGCAACTTACATATAAGTACACTGTAACTTACACGTTACTTTCAAATAATTTTGAAACGTTAGATTTGTTTCAAGATATGTGCAAGTGAAGAAGGAAAAAAATCACTGCGTGCACACATGTGAGAGGATTCGTTTCCACAACCTTCATTTCATCGAATAGCATGTTAGAGATTTTTGAAAGTTACATACAAGTTACATGCAACTTACAGTGTAATTACACCACGATTGTATTAAAGTTACATCTATCAAATTTTTAGGAGAAGATTTATCGACAAATGTATAGATGTATAGGTGATCCCAAAAATAATGGGGATTTCCATCCAAGAAGGATAGATGTGGCTTTAGGGCATCCACAATGTAGTATAAAACCAGTCCATAAGCAATAAAATATTCTATTCAGCCACTTAACAACATTGTGGAACTAGTCCATAGCAAGAAAATAGCAAAAGCCACCCATAAGCATATGGGCTGCCCATAGAAGATAAAATATGTTATTTGTCTCTATTTCCTCTCTCCTCCTAATACTATTTGCTATCCATATACATTGTGAAGATAACAATAGTTATAGTCCATATGTGTGGATCCCATCTATATGGACTACTTTTGCTATATATATTGTCGTTGCCCTTAAAAGAGTACTTTCAGAGGAGCAAATATCAATGGAGCCCACATATATGGATTTGACTGGGCAGTACACGGTAGTGTGTTAGTCCTAACCGAAGACCATTCCATCCCATATATAAATCCCCTTTTAGCCTATAGTGCACATCTTTTCAAACTTCTTTAATAACTTATATCTTTTAAATCATATATTATTTTTAAGATCTATTTACATCATCGTACTCTACTTAAAATATGTGACAAAACGATATCCATGTTAAACATATTCAAATATTTTATTAATTTTAAAATAATTTATTTAAATTGTAAAAATAACATAGATATGCAATCTAAGTAATTACATTATGACCGAGTTAAAATAAGAAACTATGTGGAGTAAATTCATAAGTAAAGTGTAGAGAAGATTTTGAAGTAAAATCATTTATGAAAATAAATTCAATACAATATGAAAGTTCATTAACCTAACAGAAAACTGACCATTCTGATGATAACTTTATCTAAAATAATCAGAAGAGTTATTCAATTGGATATGAACAATTGAAGCATACAATTCATACCAATATGTTAGATTCTGACCAACTAAAGCTCTCCTAAAAGAAACGTTAAATAGAACAGAACCTATAACACTAGTAATAGAAGAACTTCTCCTTCTGACAATAGCATATAAAGATGGATATTAATCTCTAAAGGCCAAGTTTCCTAGCTATTTATCTTCCTAAAATCTTGTCTATTCCCCATTATTCACAATTCAAGAATCCATACTTAAGAAAGTATTTTTGACTTTCATGAGTCCTAACAAAAATGAGAATCACCTTGTTTCTTATCAATTTGAGTTATATACTTATTATAAAGATAATTTCTCTTCAATAAGTCTTGCCAAACACCATTCCCATTTATTAACTTATACAATCACTTACTCAAAAGATATTTATTTTGAATCTCTAGATTATATACCCCCAAACCACCTTGGTCTTTGGGTTGGCAAATAAAATCACATCTAGAAAGTCTATATTTTTTCTCATGATCATCCCCCTGCCAAAAGAAGCGTGATCTATAATAATCAATCGTTTGAAAAACCCCCTTCAGAATCTCAAAAAAAGATATCATAAACATAGCTAAACTTAAAAGAACAGAATTAATCAAAACCAGCCTACCCCCAACAGACGAAGAGAACTAATCTTTTGTTGTGTACAAAAACACAAATATCTCGGATAGATTAAAAACCGGTAATAAAGATGTTTTTAAGTACCGGTTTTAAAAGTTCAGGCCCCAAAAACATCTTTTTTCTGGTTGGAATTACCAACTGGTACTAAAAATGCATATTTAGTACCAGTTGGTGTTACCAACCGAGACTAATGCTAGAGAATCATTATGTCCAGTTGATATTACCAACCGGTGCGTGGTTGATATTATCAACCGGTAACACAAATCCATAAAAAAAATATTTTTAGTACTGGTTGTTGTTATGAATCAATACTAAAGATGTCTCCAGGTTAGTTAAAAAGAAAACATCTCTATCTAAGTTAGATGTGTGAAGTTAGTGGGATGATTATATGCGTGAGGGCTAAGGTGAGAGATCTTGAGTTTAAATCCCACATCTTACATATTTTTGGATTAAGTATGCATCTATCAACTAGTACTAAAGATCCAATAGTAAAAATGAGTTGTCGGTAGTGTTAGTTTTATACTATGGTGTATATATATATATATATATATATATATATATATATATATATATATATATATATATATATATATATATATATATATATATGTAATTTTCTCGCTTGAGAGCTAGCTAACCAGCCATGAACTTTTCTATGAGCCCTATCAATAAATTAAAATAGCGGCTGCTAAGTTTCAAGTGATATATCTAGTCCACTATGAAGCCTTCTATCTATTTAAGAACTTGTAATTACTACTACCTGCATTCCCAAATACAAGCGATTTTGGTTTAGTAATCTCATAGAAACCATCAATAAAGTGGCAAAATGAAAAATTTTGACATCCCCAAATTAAGTTCAAGGGCGACGTAAAACATATTTCAATTTTATAAGCCAACTATAGTGCGGTTGGTGAGGAGGTAGATTTTTCTTCACATTAAAATAAAATAAAACGAAATCAACACTTCTCTGCTCCCGTACAAACATCCAGTAGAGAATTTTTAATTTTGGGTGCAACTACCCTGATGCCTTTATCAATGGATGTACTCCCTCCGTTTCAAAATATTTGACACAGTTAACTTTTTAGTATATGTTTAACCGTTCGTCTTATTAAAAAAAATTATAAAATATGTAAAACTATACGTGTAACATCCAACTACTATCAATTAGTCATGTTGCGCCGGAACGAATGAACGATATATGAAAGTGTGAACTTCGGCGAAAAGAGGATGCCGGGAATTAGCCAAAGTCTTATCTCAATCGTTATCACTGAGCTGAGCACGTGGTGAGAAGAATTGAATGACGAATAAGTAGGCGCATGGGTGAGCAGGACCATAACTAACAACTCCCTCCTTTTCAAAATGTTTGACGCCATTAACTTTTTAGCGTATGTTTGACCGTTCATCTTATTTAAAAAATTTAAATAATTATTAATTCTTTTCCTATCGTTTGATTCATTGTTAAATATATTTTTATGTAGGCATATAATTTTACATATTTCACGAAAGTTTTTGAATAAGACGAACGGTCAAATATATGCTTAAAAAGTCAATGGTGTCAAATATTTCGAAATGGAGGGAGTACATTTTTAAGTCACCGGGAGACTCGATCGGTCCACTTCAATTTAAACTCTTAATTATCTTGATCGAGCTAATGCAAGTGAACAAATAATGAACTTGGAGCTAAAATGACGCACAAGATCGATCATAACCAGAAATCCGAAATTTCTGTATGTACTCCGTTCTCAATACTACGGCAAATTAAAGGTAAAGACGAAATCCTAGCTGATTCAATCATTAACCGATCGACTGATCAACAAAAATATTAAAAACGTCCTTAACCTACATAGAGTATTTAAATTTGCCTTGTGCAAATCCCATAATTCTGGAGGTTGATCTATTACTCACACTACTAGTAGCTTCCTTCGATAGTCTAATATATTTATCTTTCATATCTCTACTATTATAAAACTTAAAGATATTTTTATCGGTACTTTAGTACATCATCCGTGTAAAAGTTGATTTTTAAGTTCGTTCGCTTTTTGGAAATGCAGATCCATATTTGAGTCGGATTTTAAGTTCGTTCGTTTTTGAGATACGGAAGGAGTCGTATTAGAAATCTCTTTAAAATAAACTCGCATGTTAACTTGACATGATTTTGTAAAAAAATATATATCCAAACGAATTTTTACAATAGATTTCACAATGAACAATAATAAGATTTATGGCTGGTTCACTTTGCTACTATTTTCAACCTTACCAAGTTTTGGCATTGCCAAAATTTGGTAATGTTACCAAAATTTTGGTAAGGTTACTAAATTTTGGCAAAATTTCATATGTACTTACTAAAATTTGGCAATAACCTAAATGTACTAAAATTTTGGCAACTTTTAGAAAGATGGTATGGTTGAAAATGGTATCAAAGTGAACAAGGCTTAAGATAGCCTTCACCCGTTACAACACGCGGATATTTTTTCTAGGTTTAAAATAAAATATATGAAATGTCGGGAAGGCTCGGATCGAGGGACGTGAGACTGTAAACTTCGGCGAAAAAAGGAGTGCCGGGAAATAGACAAGTCTTCTCTGAATTGTCAACCATTCTCGCTGAGCAAGTGGTGAAGAAGCAGGCGTCATGGGTGAGCAGGCAGCTGCTCTTTTTAAGGAGCTTAGTAAATACTAGTAAATCAACTTCACCGGGCTTTGTCGATGTAGAGCTTTGATTTGTGCACGCTCTCTCTTTATCTGCTCTATTTACTTTTGATATGACGTGTTTAATCTTCAAACTTTGGGTGGCTCTCTGGCAATCTTCAAAGCTCTCTGGTAATCTCCAACTGAACCAAAACAACGTTTCTTTGGGTGGCTTGTCTTGCATCAGAAAATTCTTACAGCTGAAAATCTCCTTAGGAGACATTGGCCCTGTAATTGGATTTGCTATCTTTGCACAAGTGCTTTTGAAGATTCTTGCCATCTAGCAAAGGACTGCCCTTATACTGTTTCAGTTTGGACTCTTGTCACAAATTGGTTGGGCTACAATTCAGCAGCTCTTCAGCCGCATCAAATTTCCAATTTATCTCAAAGGTGGGACTTTCTAAGTTCCCTCGCACTGGCAGAGAGGAGACGAAAAATCCTGACCGCGCTAATATCTACTTGGTGGAATGTGTGGCTTGAAAGAAATCGAAGGATTTTCCACCAAATCTCCAGGGATGAACAACAGGTGGCTTTCATCATAAAGGAAAATATAGATCAAATTAGACTTTCGAGGCTTCTTTAAAGAGAAGTTCTTCACTGCGGAAGGAGATAATCCCAATTGCTATTTTTCTGAAACCTCCTGTATGCAGTAGCTGTTTTTTCTTTCCCTTCCCCTTTTTTGGGAAGGCTCTGTTCTGGACTTTTATTCCTTCTAATATATCCGGCAAGTTTTTTGCCGTCCGTTTCGAAAAAAAAATATGACATGTTTAATCATTAATTATTCTATTTAAAAAATTTATATAGATATTATTTTTCTATTGCGATATGTTTTATCATTAAAAACTTTAAATAGGGCTACCTACAAATTGGGCGCCCGATTTTTTTTTCAAAAATCGAGCGCTATTCCACTAAGTAATTCGGGATTGTTTCACCAAGTAAATCAAAAATATTTCAATCGTTTAAAAAGCTGAAACACAACCAAATCATCTTATGAAATATTTTGCTACAACGTATGGAACAAACGGTTTCCTAAAAAATTTGGCATGGTTTCACCTTATATAAAAATAATGTTTCAGCAGATTGCGAAAGAAGGTTTCAATTCACTGCAACATTTGATCCATACATAACGAAACATTATAAGTACACTAGGTGAAACATTTTTTGTGGAACAAAAAATGAAACGGATTCCCTTAATAGAGGGTTTCCATAATATGTGAGTGATTTGTTGCAAAAGAATATTTCAATTCACTGCAACATTTGATTTATACATAGTGAAACATTATAAGTATACTAACCTAAACATTTTTGGTGAAACACAAAATGAAACAGATCTCCTTAATAAGGGGTTTCCTTAATATGCGAGTGATTTGTTGCAACGGTGGGGCGCGTGGTGGAGACACGTGGTGGGGGTGTGGGAGGCGCGGGAGGCCAAGGGTTGATCTTTTCTCCCCCCCCCAATCGGGCCAGTGACCAATGGGGAGGATTCCCGTACGACTTATTACATTATATTATATTTAATCTATTTTTTTAATAAGACGGATGCTCAAACGTTATTTTAAAAGTCTAATGGCTTCATCGGTTAAAAAACAGTGATAATATTTGTATCGACTCACTCAGGCTCATTCACAAAAACAGTTTGGATCGCCAAACATCTATCCAATACCATCTCGGCAAATTTTCATTGGTTAGTGTACCATTATGATCCAATTGTGACCACAAACGGCAAGATTTTTCTTTTTAATCACAGGATGTTCAAGTATGCACACTATATAGTATATACACGCACAAATCAACAGAGGGTCCCCTTGTACATGGTTAACAGAAGTAAAACTAGAGATAAATCAGTGAACCGAAAAAGCATACGTACTCTATTCGTTTTTAATATATAAAATGATTGTTTTCTTTGTTTGACTACTCATCTTTTCTACAGAAATATTTGTACAAATAGACAAATCTATAAGGCACGTAGTGGTACTCCTTTTACTTTACTTAACCAAATAATTGAATAAATATTTTTGGCCAAAGTTTTTTAAGAAAAGGTTAATTACATCATATATTAAAAAAAGAGGTAGCTATACATGTGCTTGACTAATTATAGGCCCTATATGACTTGAATTTTGAACCCTCATAGATAGAATTATACACACATACTCCATCCTAAAATAAGTTGATTCGTGGGTTTCTGTGTACAGTCTTTGACCGTTCGTCTTGTATGAAATTTTTTATGATTAGTATTTTTATTTTTGTCAGATGATAAAACATGAATAATACTTTATGTATGACTTATCTTTTTAAATTTTTTTATATTTTTTTCAAATAAAACGGATGGTTAAAAGTTGTACACGGAAATCCACGAATCAACCTATTTTGAGATGGAGGGAGTATATTCAACATCACATGATGCACATCAAATTTCTTTTCCTACCAACAAGATTTTTTATCCTCTTTTTCTGATCTATTTGGATAGAAATTTTAAGCTTGGATTTTTTGGTTTTAATCGATTACCATTTCTGCCTTTCCCCCTCTGCGCCTGTCCACCGTGACAAGGAGTGATACTAAATTTTTAACAATTCATGACAGAAAAACTATAATGCAATAGTTTTGTAATTGTAAGAATATGGCAAAATAACATGATACCTATGCGCATATACTAATTAGACACTTTATATAAATTTCTTCATTAATAAGAGAAAGAATTGAATAGATTTGATCATGCATGTAGGTGAGATAAAAAAAATAATGGTTTAGATAAAAGTTGAATAGATTTTATCACGCATCTAGGTGGGACAAAATAAGTGCAAATTAACAACATAATAAAAGAATTAAATTATTAAATTATTCATGTGATATTTTCACATGAATATAACTTAGTAGTTACTCCTTCTGTCCCGAAATATAACAACTTTAGCACTCAGGATTTGTCTGAAATTATAACAACTTCTCCGCTAACATTCATTTCCTAACTAATTACGGTCCTTCACCATTCACTTTTCTCACCTACCTTCACTTTTCAATCAATCACAAAGTTTTCCTATTTAATTCTACCTTTTTTTTAAAAAACGTGTTCAACTCTTAAAATTCTTATATTTTGGAACGAAGGGGCTATTAATTATAGACTAAATTTTTGAAAATTGCAAAACTGCAACTATCTTTTCAGAACTGTCATTTTACCGCAACTTTAGATAGACCTTTCATAAAACGGCAACAACAATGAATTGTTTTATAAAAAACTGCAACGTTATCCTTATGCGTGACTGATATGCGGGCCCAGCTTATATTAGTGCGAGTTTTACATGTGCGTTGATGGGTGGGCCCAACCTGTCAAACAAGCAATTGTTTGCGATTCTCCGATAATATCATTAGCTATTATTGCAGCTTCGTGCAGAAATGCGGCAGCTAAAGTTGATAGTTTTGCTATAATAAGTTGTGGTTTTGTGAAATTTACCCTTAATTACATTTTATGGTTATTTGATCATAACCTCTTAAATTAAGAGTCCAACCTAAGTATAATTATAGTTTCCAGTCTGGAAGTTCTTGTTCAAGTGCAAACTAAAACAAGACTCCAAGCCAGCTACATGTTTATTTTTATTAAATCCAAAAATTTAAATTAAATCAAGAAAACAGAGAGTATGGGTGAGGTGTTAGGATTGATTCCATTTAATTTCTATATATGTAATTTATAAGGCAAATCTGGAGCCATTCAATTTATTGGCCATCTGGAGCGCATATCAAAGTCATCCTGGTCATCCCACCGGGAGTGCAGATCAAATCCTCGCTCGTCTAGCTCCCAACGGCATACTGCGGCATCTCCTACGACCCCTTCTCATGGCGACCTGAGCCCAGCTACGCGGCCTGTCTTCTGCCGCCCCCGCCATACATAACCAGCGGCAGCTTTTTGTTCGTGTGATCCTGCTCAGCTCAGCTTCTGAAAAGATAGTTGCAGTTTTGACAGTTTCGATCTTCTGATCTTCTCTTCAGGAGTTACAACGCTCTCAAGATTGAACATTTTCTGTGCCTCTGATTTTACAGTTCCAATGATATTCTAGCACTAACAAATGAATCAATCAACAAATTAAAAACGTTCATGGCTCTTGAATAATTAAAGAAACTAAAATTATTCGAAAAGGCAACTAATATAACTTAATGGGACTTCAAACGCTCTAATGAAAGACATCATCATTCTTATAAGATCCTTTGCTCTGTCCAACACATTTGGCCGTGGACCAGATTCAAAAACAAAAAGTGACCCTTCATAACTGCATCACATATTCCTTGTTATCTCGGAAAGGATACAATCATTTTTTTTAGAAAGATGTTGCATTCAAATTTAACACCTGAGATTTTGAAAGCCAATAAGAGTGGCGCTGAACCTTGATGATGTGGCTAACTTATGACACCTCGGATGGAGGTTAGCGTCAAAATTGGTGGCGCTGAGATGTTGGATCTCAGCTGAGTCACGGTTCATTTTTGAAATAAGTTTTTCACACGGTTTATTCTTGTAATAAGTTTTTGTAAAGGGTTAAATTATCAAAATTTGTGCTTCCTCTGTCCTAGAATACAGTAACCAGAACCATCCGGTTCTAAGTTATTGTATTCTACTCCCTCCATCCCATAATATAAGGGATTTTGAGTTTTTACTTGCACTGTTTGACCACTTGTCTTATTCAAAAAATTTATGCAAATATAAAAAATGAAAAAATATGCTTAAAGTACTTTGGATAATAAAGTAAGTCAAAAAAAAAATAACAATTCCAAAATTTTTTGAATAAGACGAGTGGTCAAACGGTACAACAAAAAATTTAAAATCTCTTATATTATGGGACAGAGGGAGTAGAGCAGAGAGGGTAGTAGTAAGTAATGGCTGTGTGCATCGTGCAATGCTGAACTCTCTGTTTGGGACATTTGCCATACATGGCCCCAAATGTTTTATTCCATTGACACTTGCCCAATTCTTACTAGGCAAAAGTTATCTGCTGAACTCTCTGTTTGGGACAAGATTTGATGTGATGGATGCTTCGAATGGGAGGTATTTACTCGACATGTAATCATATCTTTTCTCTTTTAAGGAAGAGTAGGTTGTGAAAATGCACATAGTTCCCCTCTATTTAAATTTAAATGTCCAACGCAATTAAGTTTTGGAAATGACATTTAACTATTCGTCTTCTTAAAGAAATATAGAGTAAATTACGCATCGGTACATAGTTCATGTTAAAAAAGGGTTTTCTATGTAGGTCCTCTGTATGTATGAGTTTTTTTTTCAATAAGACGAATGATAAACATCAACAAATATTTTAAAAAACTACTAGGAAGATATTTTTTTCTGGCGGCCGCCACTCTACCGCCAGCGACCAATGGCAAGTGAAAATGCACCATTTTCACTGGTGGCCACCAGCCGCCAGCGTTGATTGATTTTCACTTGCGGGTGACCTAGCCCAGCCGCCAACGAAAATAGTTTTCACTGGCGGTTAGGTTAAGTCAGCCATGTGTGAAAAAAATATTTCATATTTTATGTATATGTATGTATTGAAATATGTTCGGTGAAAACCATTAAATAAGTAAAAATTAATAAAGAATGGACTAAAAGGTTTACAAATTCAAAAAAAAACTACTAGAGATGAAATACATTTCTACCCGATCTCAATTCCAAAATTAACTGTACAGAGCAATAATTAAGGGGAGTCATTGATTTTTTTTATTTGAAAATTATCTTGTTAAATTGATACAACCTACCAAATATATTATCTCCCGTCATTTACG